TGGAGATGGATGGAGAGATAGATGGAGTGATGTTCACAGGGCTCTGGTGCTGTTTAGAGGGAGGTTAATGAGTAGAAGAGAGAGAGAGAGAGAGAGAGAGAGAGAGGGAGGATATTCTCCCCAGATGACAGAGCCGTACTGTTATCTCCCAGGCATGCCACCAGCCCCCCACCCCACCCCCACATTCTTCCGCCCTACCTCCTGTCAGCCATCTGTACAGTAATTAACCTCCATAGAGGTTTCAGCACTCAAAGAATAGCCCACAATTACACAGAACAATGTCATGTGTAATTGCGGGCTATTCTTTGGGTGCTGAAATCAGTCGTTTTTGATGCGACGTCGGAGCTCCAGTCCGCCCACACTAGTCGCCGCTCAACTCCATCGTCTCGTGGCTTCTGCTGGTGAGATGAGATGGTGTGTGTTTAGAAACACACACAACACCACACACACACACATACATTTTGTTCTTCTATCCTCGTGGGGACCTAAAATAAATGTCCATTCCAAATCCTATTTTCCCTAAACCTTACCGTAACCCTAACCGTAACCCTAACCGTAACCCTAACCCAAACCCTAAACCTAACTCCTAACCCTAAACCTGACCACTAACCCCTTATCCTAACCCTAATTGTAACCCTAACCCTTCATTACAAAGAGGGAGCGAACAGCCCTGCTTGAACCCTGTTACCTTATCAATCAGGGGGAAAAAAAGGAGGGAGGGAGGGAGAGAAGGAGGGAGAGAAGGAAGTAGGAAATTATGGACTGAGTGAAAATGACAGAGGGAGGAAGGGAGGTAGAGAAGGAAGGAGGGAGGGAGGGATAGGTTGAGGGAGGAGGGAGAGAAGGAGGGAGGGAGGATGAGAGAGATCCCACAGCACTCTGCCTCACAACCCCGTCCTCACCTTGACTTTTTTCCCCCAATGACTTTTCTGATATCCACTTTATTGAGGAAAATGTTACTTAATATGACTGAATAAGAGCGTCTGCTAAATGACTAAAATGTAAAATGGGAGAAACGAAACCCTTCAGAGAAATCATTAGTGTGAGATGTATGGATATAATTAAGATGGTTCAGTTTTAATGAATCTCATTCATTCAGCTCGGCAGAAGGATCATGATACGCTCCAGTTTGTGTCTTTGTATTTAAGCTGGTCACACTTAGCCCATTTTGTTACTGGCAACACTGGCATATAGGCCTACTATGACTGGATCAGTACAATCAGAATGGTCCCTTTTATTCTCTACACATCCTCAGCAGCAGTTTTTCTACCATGAACTACCATGACTATGGATGTGTCCCAAATGGCACTACTATATAGTGCACTACTTTTCCCTATGTAGGGAATAGGGTTCCATTTGGGATGCAGACATTGTGCGTGTAGGTCATATGCTTTATTTACCCCCTGCCGCCCCATTCCCCCACCACTAAGCTCCCGCTTGCAGCGCCAGCCCTTTGGTGCCCCCTCTGGTGGGCATCAACCCAGGCTGGTCACCGCAGCACCTGCCCACCCGTACCCATCTGGTGATGGCCTGCCTGTGTCTCCAGCCCAAGCAGCTGATCCCCCGATAATAAACCCACTCTGACCATCTGACAGGCAGTAGGAACAGACAGACAGCCTGCCAGCCAGGCAGCACAGACAACACAGACAGACAGTCGGGTGAATCGGAGCCCCTCTCCTCCCCACTCCCTCTCCTTCCCCACTCCCTTCTGACATGATGCCAGGACAGAGACAGGCATGCCAGGGAGGGAGGGAGGGAGTGGGGGAGAGCGAGAACGAGGAGGGAGGGAGGGAGGGAGGGAGAGAGGGATAGAGGGAGTGAGAGAGAAAAAGAGAGCGAGAGCAAGGGAGAGAGAGAACCATGGCCTGTGAGCCTCTGTGCCCCCCTCCCCATCCCTCCACTCCTCCACCACGCCGCATGTTCCTGGTCCCTTAAACAAAGCTGAGGTGTTGGCTCCCTCAGGGAAGACCCAGCAGCTATCATCATCACTTCTCTAACTCTGCCAGCCAGACGGATTATAATGAAGGCAAATGGAACAGAAGGGAAGTGAGAGAAATAAGGGCTGTCAGGACAGTAAGGGCAAAGGATTAACTTTGGGACTAGTGATTTGTGTTAAGTAGTGTAGTTAGAAGAGGAAGTGTCTAAGCTACAGAGCAATTTTGCCACTCAAATTGAAACAGAAATTAGCATTTCGATCCATTGAAACAAATGAATAGATGGTGTCCATGTTAGTTACTACGCCATGAAGATTAAGGCCGAGTTCCATGCTGACTACATTGCAGGCGCATGCCAAATCTCCCAACACCTGGATAGATGTTTAACATATCAGCTAACCGCATCATATGATATAACAATCTGACAGTGAAGTCGGCCTGGAACTCACCCTGAGAATTCTTTGCATCTCAGCACCAGGGAAACAGTCTAAGATAAATATCCAACTAGCCAGTAATGATACTGAATGATACTGTTCCACGTCATTATTATCAATCAATACTGTGTACATACCATTTCCACAAGGTATAGGCCTATAAAACATCCCCTGCAAAGTATCTTTGCTATGTCTTCAGCACCTTAGCCATTATAGGAAAAAGAGGGAGGGAGGGAGGGATTGGACCAGAGGGAGGGAGGGATTGGACCAGAGAGAGGGAGGGATTGGACCAGATGGAGGGAGGGAGTTAACCAGAGGGAGGGAGGGAGTGGACCAGAGAGAGGGAGGGAGTGGACCAGAGGGAGGGAGAGCAGCCTCTATAAAGAAAATAAATATGGGCCTCCTCCTTCCTCCTCCTCCTGTACTACGCTATGTGGATACACTAGTATTGTCAACTAGAAAGCAGGCCAAACAGTGTGTGTGTGTTTCAGCCTCAGCTCCCTGAATCATAAACACTGCTAGGGTCCAGTACCCACCTTCCCTCTGACAACAATATGGCTGCAGTACCACGTCCAAGGAAATCCAATTTGCTGGATTGACCATTTGTGCTCGTAACACAGGAGTGTGCTCGACAAGAAAAATAGTTATCTCGCAAGTTTTTTGGGGACAGTTCCATTTTTTGACAGGAGTCAAAGATGTTATGAAAGTGCACCTCTGACACGGTTACCATTCCATTTCCTGTGTGATGTGGATTTGTGGATGTGAGCTGGTTAGTTTGCTCATGATCTCTGAAGTATGGGCTCTGAGGTTGGAGTAGAACTCTACAGTGTGTGAAAGCACCCTTGGTAAATTAATAGTCACCATTGGCCGTTGTCCCTACAACCCTCTCCAAACCCCCAACACTCATACCTTTATGTAAATCCTTATTTTGACTAAGTTCAAGTGTCAACAACAACCACAGAGTTGCCGTTGACGCTAAACCAATCAATCCTAAAATATAAACGTTTGAGCACGTAAACATCAGCTATATTCAAGAAAGTAGTTCTAGAATACACAACATTCTTGTTGTCCTGTATCCCATCACCATCCCTTGGAGCTCATCCTTGGCACGAGGAAGTTTCTCCTAGATATAAATCTAGGATCAGCTTTCCATCCCCAATCCTAACCTTAACCATTAGTGGGGAAATGCAAAACTGAACCAAGATCAGCATCTTAGGGCAACTTCACCCTACTCCAAAGCCCCTCCCCTGCTCATGACTCAGGTAGAATGACTCAGGGCTGTGATTGGTGGATGTCCTTGGGGAGGCCAGGCTTTGACAGATTGGATAATTAACTATGGGGCTCTTATGGATTTCCTGCCTAGCATTGATGTTGCAGAGCCGTGATCATGCTTCCTGCCTCAGTCTGTAAATCTCTCAGCCTTGTCTGGCTGGCTGGCTGGCTGGCTGGCTGCTATCTTTGAGCCCTGAACCACCTCAGTGCTGTACAAGTACAAGTGCTATACACATAGGCAGGCAGGCACATACACACACACAGATTCAGATACATGCTCTCTGACTCACTCTGCTCTCTCTCCTCTCACTGGCTGGGTGTGTTTGTGTGGATAGGGCTTGTTTGTGTATGTGTGTGTGGGCCTGGTTGTTTTTGTGTGTGTGTGTGTGTTGTGGGTGTACATGCGTGCATTTGTGTGTGTTGATGTGTGTGTGTGCCGTGAAGTGGGCCTGTATTTACAGTATGCCAGAGAGCTCTTAGACCAGGATCAGGGGACCAGGAGAACAGAGAGAGAGAGAGGGAGGGAAAGATATATATATATAGATATAAGAGAGAGCGAGAGAGAGAGAGGATGGGAGAGAGAGAGAGAGAGGAGAGAGGAGAGAGAGGGACCGAGGAGAAGAGAGAGAGAGAGGGAGAGTGGAGGAGAGACCCGAGAGAGAGAGAGAGAGAGAGAGAGGCCGAGGAGGTCCTCTCACCTGAGGACGAGCGCTGCCGCTGATCAGGTGGCCTGGCTCAGGAGCACGGGGGACGTTTCACACTGTCTGCTCTTGTTAGCTCTCCCCCTCTACAGCTACAGACACCAGGCCAGATAGCTCAAGAAAGAGGGGAGGGGGAGAGAGAGAGACAGTAGGGCAGAACTGAAGAGAAAGGGGAGAGGGGAATGGAAGAGAGAGGATAGGGAGATACTAGGCCAAAGCAACAGACAGCAGGGCAGAACTGAACAACTAAAGAGATAGAAGAGGAAATAAGAGATATAACCTGGAGTAGAGGAGGATGATGATAAATAGAGGGAGGATGAGAGGTTTGAAATACACCATACATCAATACATACGCAGTACCCACAGACAGACCACTGACATATTTGAGCGTACAGTAGACTAGTCCTTGGAGAACATAACCTACATAGAGAGTTTCCAGTATCAACATAGGACTACAGGCTACAGACTACAGAGATACAGTAGAGACCAGCTCTGTTTCTGAGCATAACACAACCAATTAAACACAGCACAGCAATTAAACAGCCATAACACAGGGCTCATAGCAACCAGGCCTCAAAGGACTCAATTATTGCACTCTCAGCTAGCAGAGGCAGAGGGAGATGAGAGAGGGAGATGAGAGAGGGAGATGAGAGAGGGAGATGAGGGAGGGAGGGAGGGAGGAGGGAGTGAGGGAGTCGAGGGAGAGTAGGGATGAGTTATCTGGAGATGCTGACTCTCTCCTCTCCTGCTCTCTCTATCTCGCTCTCGCTCTCGCTTCTCTCTCTCTACTCTCTCTCTCTCTCCTCTCTCTTCTTATCATCCCTCTCTTCCTTTTTAGTTTTTTTTTTCCCTCTCTGGGAGGAGAGGAGAGGTTGAGAGGTTGTCCCTCTCTTCACTGGCTGTCATGGGTAATGCATCATGGGTACTGCAGGATCATGATGAATCCATGTAGATGGTAAAGATTTAAAAAATTCAGAGAACTGGAATCTAGTCTTCATTGTGGCAGCACTAACAGTTGACCGGGGCAGCTCTAGCAGGGCAGAAATTTGACGAACTGACTTGTTGGAAAGGTGGCATCCTATGACGGTGCCACATTGAAAGTCACTTTTGGCCATGTAGTGTATATAAATTTTCTAATGGTATCAGGTATAAAAAAATTATTTTGTGTTAAAATAAAGAAAATTATATGTTCATCATTTGCAAAAATACACTGGGTGTATTTGCATATATGAAAACATTAACATAAAGTGTTGGAACAGGGCTGCAACCACTAAAACATCCTCTGTCTAGAAGGCCTACCTGTACTCACCTGCGCTGTCTAGACTGCTTCATTAATTACTGTTGTTGTCATGTTCTGTTGCAACAAGTGTGTCAATAGCAGGATATCCTCAGATTAAAAATCAACACGCTTGGCTCTAGATTACACCCATCTATACATACTTTACATTGTTTGCGAGGTCAAACAGAATATCACTATAATCTGAGTGTTCATTTTCGTAAATTGATTTCGTTTAATTGTAAACATTTCAACTATATCAAATGATACATTTTTTCAATTCCACAAAAAATGAATCCCTGAACCCATCAAAATAAAGTTATCTTTCTTATCTTTCTTGTGATGTAAAGATGATTATGATTGTCATGTCAAGATGATATGTTAAATCCCAGCCGAAGCTTTAACATTCTTATAGATGCAACGGAAACACAATGTATTCCATTGAGCCCATTTCAGCCATTACCGGGTGTGTTTGACAGGTCATTACAAACATTTCCACGGTCGTAACGTTAATGGGAAAACACGACAGGCACAAGCAAGAGTATGAAAGAGTCGCAGGAGTAAAATTAAAGCAATCAATCCAGCGAGATGTAAGTGACAAGCGGATTTTGCACCCCTCAAACACAGGAAATAAAAAAGACAGTTCCTCAGGTGGGCGGGGCATGTGCGTTGCTAGTTTAATTGTTTTTGTAAAACTAAAGCACACACACAAGCACAAGAAAAAGATAAGAAGATTGCATCCTGTTCTGTGCGACAAATTAAACCGGTCATTATCATTTGTGTTAATATTGTGTTGAATCATAGTTTCATTTGATGTTATTAGGTCCTGGAGCGTGGCAATATCTCTCCAAGCAAAATAACACTGTCAAACACAAACGCACACACACACACACACCACACATACATACATACACACACATGCACATACACACACACAAACACACACAACACATATTGCACCTCTTGCTCATCTCATTGGCTTTGCTAAATAGCAGCTCCTGTTTAATGAATGTTAACATGCAGGATAATATCCGGGGTAAAATATGATACAACCTAGCTGGAGTTTAATCAATATAGACCCTATCTAAATGCTGCGCGCATGCCCGCACACACACACGCACGTACACACACACACACACTCACACACACACACACAGCTAATGCTGGAGATATAGTGATAGTGATATGGCCTACCAGTAAATGGGATGACTGTGATAACGGATGTGTTACAGTACATGGCAGGACGTCGGGATACTATGTAGAGCACTGGATCTGTCACCATCGTTTAAGGACGGGTCAGACCAAGGCGCAGCGTGAAAAGCATACATGTTTATTACAACGATAAACACACGAACAAAACAACGTAACGTGAAGTCCGAAGGCTAACCACAATACAAGCCTCTAACACGGAACAAGAACCCACAACTAATGAGTGCCAACAGGCTACTTAAGTATGATCCCCAATCAGAGACAACGAGCGACAGCTGCCTCTGATTGGGAATCACACCCGGCCAAACATAGAAATACACAACCTAGAAAGAGAACATAGAAAATACAACGTAGAACTCCACACCCTAACTCAACATACTAGAGTCCCATACGTCAGGGTGTGACAGGATCAACACAGGAAAAAGAGTGATTACATACTTGATTTATGCCGTTGATTTAAGGATGGTTTCCCATGCACAGATTAAGCCTAGTCCAATACTAAATATCATTCTCAATAGAGATTCTCCATTAAAATGCATGTTTATTCCAGGACTAGGCCTAGTCTGTGTCCCGGAAGCAGCCCTTTATGTTGGGGGATATTTTTAGGCTGGCCCTAGTTTGTAGTAGTGGGCTTTAGCTGTATAGTATAGTAGTGGGTTGTAGCTGCAGAGTATAGTATAGTAGTGTGATGTAGAGTATAGTATATTAGTGGGTTGTAGAGTATAGTATAGTAGTGGTCTGTAGCTGTATAGTATAGTAGTGGGCTGTAGATTATAGTATAGTAGTGGGATGTAGCTGTATAGTATAGTAGTTGGCTGTAGAGTATAGTATAGTAGTGTGCTGTAGGTGTATAGTATAGTAGTGGGCTATAGAGTATAGTATAGTAATGGCCTGTAGAGTATAGTATAGTATAGTAGTGGGCTATAGAGTATAGTATAGTAATGGCCTGTAGAGTATAGTATAGTATAGTAGTGGGCTGTAGAGTATAGTATAGTAGTGTGCTGTAGCACTACTATACTATAGTAGTTGATTATAGTAGTTGGCTGTAGCTCTAGATACTGAGTATAATAGTGGGCTGTATAGTATAGTAGTGGGCTGTATCTGTATAGTATAGTAGTGGGCTTAGAGTATAGTATAGTAGTGGGCTGTAATTGTATAGTATAGTATAGTAGTGGGCTGTAGCTGTATAGTATAGTAGTGGGATGTAGAGTATAGTATAGTAGTGGGCTGTATCTGTATAGTATAGTAGTGAGATTTAGCTGTATAGTATAGTAGTGGACTGTAGTTGTAGAGTATAGTAATGGGCTGTAGCTGTATAGTATAGTAGTGGGCTTTAGCTGTATAGTATAGTAGTGGGCTGTAGAGACTGAGTATAGTAGTGGGCTGTAGCTGTAGAATATAATAGTGGGCTGTAGCTGTATAGTATAGTAGTGGGCTGTAACTGTATAGTATAGTAGTGGGCTGTAGCTGTATAGTAAAGTATAGTAGTTGGCTGTAGAGTATAGCAGTTGGCTGTAGCTGTATAGTATAGTAGTTGGCTGTAGAGTAAAGTATAGTAGTTGGCTGTAGCTGTATAGTATAGTAGTTGGCTGTAGAGTATAGTATGTGGGCTGTAGCTGTATAGTAGTAGTTAGTGGGTTTTGGTTAGAGTATATATAGTAGTGGGCTGTAGCTGTATAGTAAAGTATAGTAGTTGGCTGTAGAGTATAGCAGTTGGCTGTAGCTGTATAGTATAGTAGTTGGCTGTAGAGTATAGTATAGTAGTTGGCTGTAGCTGTATAATAGTAGTTGGCTGTAGCTGTATAGTAAAGTATAGTAGTTGGCTGTAGAGTATAGCAGTTGGCTGTAGCTGTATAGTCTAGTGTGGCTGTAGCGTATAGTATAGTATGGGCTGTAGCTTGTATTATATGTAGTGGGCTGTTATGCTTTTACTAAAGTATAGTAGTTGGCTGTAGAGTATAGCAGTTGGCTGTAGCTGTATAGTATAGTAGTTGGCTGTAGAGTATAAGTCAGTTGGCTGTAGCTGTATAGTAAAGTATAGTAGTTGGCTGTAGAGTATAGCAGTTGGCTGTAGCTGTATAGTATAGTAGTTGGCTGTAGAGTATAGTATAATAGTTGGCTGTAGCTGTATAGGTATAGTAAAGTAAGTAGTTGGCCTGTAAGGGAATAGCAGTTGGCTGTAGCTGTATAGTAAAGTAGTTGGCTGTAGAGTATAGTAGTTGGCTGTAGCTGTATAGTATAGTAGTTGGCTGTAGAGTGTAGTATAGTAGTGGGCTGTAGCTGTAGAATACGCACACACGCATACACACACACACACACACACACACACACACACACACACACACACCATCTTAGTGTCTGTGTGTGTAAATATGCTGTCAGTGTCTTATTCTTGAGTCGGCTCCTACAGCCATACATCTGCTGCTGGAGGAGAGCCAGACTCCATGTTTCTCTGTTTGGACTGTGTTTGCTTGCGTCCCAAATGACACCCTATTCCCTACGTAGTTTGCTACTTTTGACCAGGGCTCTAGTCAAAAGTAGTGCACTATATAGGGAATAGGATAGCATTTGGGATGCTTCCTGTGCCTCTCTTCCTGCAAGAAGGGCGAGAAGAGAGGGTGCTCTAATGTCTTGTTATATCTGATGGCTTATCCTGGGTGGTGCTCTTGTCGTGTGTGTCCTTGGCTCAACCACGATGTATGATGGCCCGTCGAGCCACAAATCTCAATTATGTCCTCTGGATAAGAAATTTGCTGTTAGTTTAGAGGTGGAAGTGGATGTATCCCACAAAGGCTTGCAGGGCTGTTGTGGGGGGGTGGGGTGGGGGTGGGGTGGGGTGGGGGGGGGGGGGGGGGGGGGGGGGGGTGTATGCGTGTGTGTGTCCCAGCTAACCAGCCCAGGCGGCAGATGGGTGCTCTGATTAAAACTGGGTTATGATGGAGCATTAAATTAATGAATAGCTGCAATAAAATCATTTGGGCTCCGACAACAAAGGGAGGAATCTGACATAGTGCGCGGATTAATGCGTGATTTGCATATTTAAATGGAAACAATGTTCAGGGTTAGCTGCCTGGTCTAATGATGCATTTAGATTCTAATAACTCAGTTAGGGCAGCTTCCAGCAGGAACCAAACACGCCAGGTGTGTGTGTTTGTGTATGCGTGTGTGTGTGCACGCGCCCGTGTGTGTGCACGCGCCCGTGTGTATTTGTGCGCCCGTGTGTGTTTGAAGTCCCATCGTTTGAAGTCTGAGTTCATACTGTTCCCCCATTCTCCAGAGGGGGAAACATATTTTAGAATTGAATTGAACCTTTTGTTGATTCTGTCCATTTATTGCCCCTGAGTGTTCCTTCCTCCCTTCCCAGGAGCTGAATGACCTGAGTGGTCCGGAGCCTGGTGGTTTTCTGTTCAACCTGATCATTAATTGCACCCACCTGGTGTCCCAGGTCTAAATCAGTCCCTGATTAGAGTGGAACAATGAGAAAAAAACACAGTATAACTGACTTTGAGGTCCAGAGTTGAGTTTGAGGGCTCTAGTCTATCCCAGACAGATCTACTGTAGGATACTGCTATATCTAGTCTATCCCAGAGAGATTTATTGTAGGATACTGCTATATCTAGTCTATCCCAGAGAGATCTACTGTAGGATACTGCTATATCTAGTCTATCCCAGAGAGATCTACTGTAGGATACTGCTATATCTAGTCTATCCCAGAGAGATCTACTGTAGGATACTGCTATATCTAGTCTATCCCAAAGAGATCTACTGTAGGATACTGCTATATCTAGTCTATCCCAGAGAGATCTACTGTAGGATACTGCTATATCTAGTCCATCTTAGAGAGATCTACTGTAGGATACTGCTATATCTAGTCTATCTTAGAGAGATCTACTGTAAGATTCTGCTATATCTAGTCTATCCCAGAGAGATCTACTGTAGGATACTGCTATATCTAGTCTATCCCAGAGAGATCTACTGTAGGATACTGCTATATCTAGTCTATCCCAGAGAGATCTACTGTAGGATACTGCTATATCTAGTCCATCTTAGAGAGATCTACTGTAGGATACTGCTATATCTAGTCTATCTTAGAGAGATCTACTGTAGGATACTGCTATATCTAGTCTATCCCAGAGAGATCTACTGTAGGATACTGCTATATCTAGTCTATCCCAGAGAGATTTATTGTAGGATACTGCTATATCTAGTCTATCCCAGAGAGATCTACTGTAGGATACTGCTATATCTAGTCTATCCCAGAGAGATCTACTGTAGGATACTGCTATATCTAGTCTATCCCAGAGAGATCTACTGTAGGATACTGCTATATCTAGTCTATCCCAGAGAGATCTACTGTAGGATACTGCTATATCTAGTCTATCCCAGAGAGATCTACTGTAGGATACTGCTATATCTAGTCCATCTTAGAGAGATCTACTGTAGGATACTGCTATATCTAGTCCATCTTAGAGAGATCTACTGTAGGATACTGCTATATCTAGTCTATCCCAGAGAGATCTACTGTAGGATACTGCTATATCTAGTCTATCCCAGAGAGATCTACTGTAGGATACTGCTATATCTAGTCTATCCCAGAGAGATCTACTGTAGGATACTGCTATATCTAGTCCATCTTAGAGAGATCTACTGTAGGATACTGCTATATCTAGTCTATCCCAGAGAGCTCTACTGTAGGATACTGCTATATATAGTCTATCCCAGAGAGATATACTGTAGGATACTGCTATAATCTAGTCTATCCCAGAGAGATCTACTGTAGGATACTGCTATATCTAGTCTATCCCAGAGAGATCTACTGTAGGATACTGCTATATCTAGTCTATCCCAGAGAGATCTACTGTAGGATACTGCTATATCTAGTCCATCTTAGAGAGATCTACTGTAGGATACTGCTATATCTAGTCTATCCCAGAGAGATCTACTGTAGGATACTGCTATATCTAGTCTATCCCAGAGAGATCTACTGTAGGATACTGCTATATCTAGTCTATCCCAGAGAGATCTACTGTAGGATACTGCTATATCTAGTCCATCTTAGAGAGATCTACTGTAGGATACTGCTATATCTAGTTCATCTTAGAGAGATCTACTGTAGGATACTGCTATATCTAGTCCATCTTAGAGATATCTACTGTAGGATACTGCTATATCTAGTATATCTTAGAGAGATCTACTGTAGGATACTGCTATATCTAGTCCATCTTAGAGAGATCTTCTGTAGGATACTGCTATATCTAGTCTATCCCAGAGAGATCTACTGTAGGATACTGCTATATCTAGTCTATCCCAGAGAGATCTACTGTAGGATACTGCTATATCTAGTCTATCCCAGAGAGATCTACTGTAGGATACTGCTATATCTAGTCTATCCCAGAGAGATTTATTGTAGGATACTGCTATATCTAGTCTATCCCAGAGAGATCTACTGTAGGATACTGCTATATCTAGTCTATCCCAGAGAGATCTACTGTAGGATACTGCTATATCTAGTCTATCCCAGAGAGATCTACTGTAGGATACTGCTATATCTAGTCTATCCCAGAGAGATCTACTGTAGGATACTGCTATATCTAGTCTATCCCAGAGAGATCTACTGTAGGATACTGCTATATCTAGTCCATCTTAGAGAGATCTACTGTAGGATACTGCTATATCTAGTCCATCTTAGAGAGATCTACTGTAGGATACTGCTATATCTAGTCTATCCCAGAGAGATCTACTGTAGGATACTGCTATATCTAGTCTATCCAGAGAGATCTACTGTAGGATACTGCTATATCTAGTCTATCCCAGAGAGCTCTACTGTAGGATACTGCTATATATAGTCTATCCCAGAGAGATATACTGTAGGATACTGCTATATCTAGTCTATCCCAGAGAGATCTACTGTAGGATACTGCTATATCTAGTCTATCCCAGAGAGATCTACTGTAGGATACTGCTATATCTAGTCTATCCAGAGAGATCTACTGTAGGATACTGCTATATCTAGTCCATCTTAGAGAGATCTACTGTAGGATACTGCTATATCTAGTCTATCCCAGAGAGATCTACTGTAGGATACTGCTATATCTAGTCTATCCCAGAGAGATCTACTGTAGGATACTGCTATATCTAGTCTATCCCAGAGAGATCTACTGTAGGATACTGCTATATCTAGTCCATCTTAGAGAGATCTACTGTAGGATACTGCTATATCTAGTCCATCTTAGAGAGATCTACTGTAGGATACTGCTATATCTAGTCCATCTTAGAGATATCTACTGTAGGATACTGCTATATCTAGTATATCTTAGAGAGATCTACTGTAGGATACTGCTATATCTAGTCCATCTTAGAGAGATCTTCTGTAGGATACTGCTATATCTAGTCTATCCCAGAGAGATCTACTGTAGGATACTGCTATATCTAGTCTATCCCAGAGAGATCTACTGTAGGATACTGCTATATCTAGTCTATCCCAGAGAGATTTATTGTAGGATACTGCTATATCTAGTCTATCCCAGAGAGATCTACTGTAGGATACTGCTATATCTAGTCTATCCCAGAGAGATCTACTGTAGGATACTGCTATATCTAGTCTATCCCAGAGAGATCTACTGTAGGATACTGCTATATCTAGTCTATCCCAGAGAGATCTACTGTAGGATACTGCTATATCTAGTCTATCCCAGAGAGATCTACTGTAGGATACTGCTATATCTAGTCCATCTTAGAGAGATCTACTGTAGGATACTGCTATATCTAGTCCATCTTAGAGAGATCTACTGTAGGATACTGCTATATCTAGTCCATCTTAGAGAGATCTACTGTAGGATACTGCTATATCTAGTCTATCTTAGAGAGATCTACTGTAGGATACTGCTATATCTAGTCCATCTTAGAGAGATCTTCTGTAGGATACTGCTATATCTAGTCTATCCCAGAGAGATCTACTGTAGGATACTGCTATATCTAGTCTATCCCAGAGAGATCTACTGTAGGATACTGCTATATCTAGTCTATCCCAGAGAGATCTACTGTAGGATACTGCTATATCTAGTCTATCCCAGAGAGATTTATTGTAGGATACTGCTATATCTAGTCTATCCCAGAGAGATCTACTGTAGGATACTGCTATATCTAGTCTATCCCAGAGAGATCTACTGTAGGATACTGCTATATCTAGTCTATCCCAGAGAGATCTACTGTAGGATACTGCTATATCTAGTCTATCCCAGAGAGATCTACTGTAGGATACTGCTATATCTAGTCTATCCCAGAGAGATCTACTGTAGGATACTGCTATATCTAGTCTATCCCAGAGAGATCTACTGTAGGATACTGCTATATCTAGTCTATCCCAGAGAGATCTACTGTAGGATACTGCTATATCTAGTCCATCTTAGAGAGATCTACTGTAGGATACTGCTATATCTAGTCCATCTTAGAGAGATCTTCTGTAGGATACTGCTATATCTAGTCTATCTTAGAGAGATCTACTATAGGATACTGCTATATCTAGTCTATCTTAGAGAGATCTACTGTAGGATACTGCTATATCTAGTCCATCTTAGAGAGATCTACTGTAGGATACTGCTATATCTAGTCCATCTTAGAGAGATCTTCTGTAGGATACTGCTATATCTAGTCTATCTTAGAGAGATCTACTATAGGATACTGCTATATCTAGTCTATCTTAGAGAGATCTACTATAGGATACTGCTATATTTAGTCTATCTTAGAGAGATCTACTGTTGGTTACTGTTCTATCTAGTCTATCTTAGAGGACCTGAATGGTTAAATTAAATCAGTCCTTTGGACTTGTCTAACAGGGCTTGTTCATTGCTTTTTAAATCAGTCGCCGATTTATCGCCCACCAAGGGAATTACACTGTCTTCATAGTTTCCTCTGTCTATTGCTATCAATTTGGTTTGTGTGTGTGTGCGTGTGTGTGTGCGTGTGTGCATGCGTGCTGTGCGTGCATGTGTGTGTGTGTGTGTTGGTGTCATGGTGCGGAGGCCAAGGGACCATCCCTGTACGAGAAGGATTAGCCCGGGAATGGGATTATGACGAGTCATAAAGTTCAACAATGGTCACATCAGATGGAAGGATGGCAGAGGGCAGTTGGCTGTAGACGCTGATCTTTGGTCTGTGTTACTTTTTACCCCACTAATGGTGAAGGTTAGGATTGGGGAAATGAAAGCTGGTCCTAGATCTCACCCTCTCTCCCTCCCTGCCTCTTTCCCTCCCTGCCTCCCTGCATCTCACCCTCTCTCCCTCCCTGCATCTCTCCCTCCCTGCCTCTCTCGCTCCCTGCCTCTCTCACTCCCTGCCTCCCTGCCTCCCTGCCTCTCTCCTCCCCTGCCTCTCTCCCCTCCCTGCCTGCCTCCCTCCCTCCCTGCATCTCACCCTCCCTCCCTCCCTCCCTCCCTCCCTCCCTCCCTCCCTCCCTCCCTCCCTCCCTCCCTCCCTGCCTCTGTCCCTCCCTGCCTCCCTGCATCTCACCCTCTCTCCCCCCCTGCATCTCTCCCTCCCTGCCTCTCTCCCTCCCTGCCTGTCTCACTCCCCTGCCTCTCTCCCTCCCTGCATCTCTCCCTGCCTCTCTCCCTCCCTGCCTCTCTCCCTCCCTGCATCTCTCCCTCCCTGCCTCTCTCCCTCCCTGCCTCTCTCCCTCCATGCCTCTCTCCCTCCATGCCTCTCTCCCTGCCTGCCTCCCTCCCTCCCTGCATCTCACCCCCCTCCCTCCCTCCCTCCCTCCCTCCCTCCCTCCCTGCCTCTTTCCCTCCCTGCCTCCCTGCCTCCCTGCATCTCACCCTCTCTCCCTCCCTGCCTCTCTCCCTCCCTGCATCTCTCCCTCCCTGCCTCTCTCCCTCCCTGCCTCTCTCCCTCCATGCCTCTCTCCCTCCATGCCTCTCTCCCTCCCTGCCTCTCTCCCTCCATGCCACTCTTCCTGCTGCCGCCTCTGCTTTGGGCCCCTCGGCTCTGCCTGCTGCAGGCTGTTGCTTGGCAACCCCCAAACAGCTTCCCTTGGATAGGCGAGGGTTCTAATGTTCCTGCCTGTTCTGATCTCTGATTGGATGGATGGAAGCCCATGGATGCCGATGCCCAGTTTTCCATATTTTACACAGAAGTTTTATCAGTGTTATTAGTTGTAGAGGGCATGTCGCAGCAGCAATGGTAGCAGTAGAAGGCTGTGCATCCCAAATGGCACCCTATTCTCTTTTGTAGTGCAACACTTTTGACCAGGACCCATAGGGTGAATAGGGTGCCCTTTGGGACGCATACATGGTGGTGATTGTGCTTAGCTGTTTAGCTCTTCAGGTTAATATTATCACTAGTGGCGCAGTTCCAATGTCCATACTAGTAAACTACTTTAATGAAGTAATGTATTGGGCATGCATTCTAAGTGGCATGCCAGTATGGATATTGGAAGGTAGCCCAAGACTACTTATAGGAGAAACCGTCAGAGCTCCATGAGACGTAGAAGTCTTTGTCTTATTCGGTGGTGTTTAGTATTCTGTCATTTGACCTAATGTGGTAAGGGTTAAAGCCACAATACTGAATTCATGTTTGAAATTAAATCACTATTGAACAACAGTAAATAAAACAGATTCTACCTTTTAAAGGCACCACAGAGCAATGAACATTGTACCTATCTGGTTCGTTCTGTAATCTGTACTGAAAATAGCAGTTTGGCCAACAGTTTGGCATTAATCATATCACAGAGTTCCATGACCTCTTTATTTATGCGTCCTCCTCTCTTCTCCTCTCCCCCCATCCTCCTCTCCTTTCTCCTGTGTGCATCATTGGCAGAACATACCATTAAAAATAGCGTCCCCTCCCCTCCGTCATCTGCCCCACTTTGTTGTCACCACTCGCTACTTCAACTTTCTTCCCCGGCAGCTTTTGTAGAAAGAAACCCTCGACTCCCATCTCTGAATATCACCCCAGAGGTAATGGACTATTGGGCGTCCCAAAATACTCTGAGACAGAGGCACGTTGTTGGTTGGTTACGTTCACATATTTTGACCAGGCCCCATATGCAGGGTCATACGTCTGGGCGTGATATGCTTTTAAAGTTCCCTTTCGGTGTAGTCGGTACATGCAGCTTTTATATGTTTCCTTTTAGGACATTAGAAGTACCAACGGTCATCTCTGTAGACTTGTTGCTCTGACGTCATTGTTTCTGATGCAAGGTTGTCATCTGGCTCTGACTGCGTTCCAAATGGCACCCTATTCCCTATATAGTGCACTACTTTATTTTCTTGGAGCAGTCCCACTCCTCACATATTTTCTGTTTATGGGATAAGACAGGTAAAGAGGTAGAGATAGGGGAGAGAGTGTGCTGAAATAACAGTGGGCCCGTATTCAAACCCATACTGCAGCGGTATATGAGATCTGGAGGCAGCAGCTTAGACCACCCTAGGCCACATAGAGTACTACATAGGGAATAGGGTGCCATTTGGGACGCAGCCTTTGTCTCAGCTAGGTAACATTACGGCAGACTTGTGTGTGTATAGCGACTGTCTGCTACCTAAATGTTTTAATCCTTTGTGAGCTTTGTTGTAAAACCGAACAAGGACACAGAGTCTGTTTGTATAATCATATATGAAGTCCTAATCCAAGAAAGAAGAAGCTCTCAGGAGAGGAGAATAGAAATGCGGTTTGGATTATGGAGGGAATAGATTTAACTGTACCCTACAACATGACATTTCAAGGAGATGGGCTGCGTCTCAAATTGCACCCTATTCCCCTTTATAGTGCACTACTTTTGACCACAGTCCTATGGACCCTGCATGGTCAAAAGCATAGACTGGTGGTGGTGGATGGGGAGGGGGGTTGACCTCTCTGGCTCAGGCTCTGTTCTACTGTAATTGAAGAATGAATGGCTCATAATTGTCCCATTTCAAGTGATCCTGAGCCAAAATGCAAGGCAGTCTCTGTAGAGGGATAAGGCCTGAGGGAATGTGATGATAGATAGTCATTTACATTAACATGACTTAATATGGACATGATTAAAGGTAGAGTCTGATACAACGCGTGTGAATCTATGGGGATGTTTGTGTACCTGTGTGAGTGTGAGTGTGGTGTGTGGTGTGTGTGTGTGTGTGTGTGTGTGTGTGTGTGTGTGTGTGTGTGTGTGTGTGTGTGTGTTGTAAGACTGTGTGTGTGTGTCTGTGCGTGCGCGTGTTCATAATAAGGTTCATGCACTTACGTATGTACAGTATGTGTTTACTCACTCATGTGCGTCCTGAAAATGACAGCAGGCATACTCAGGGTGTTGCTAAGTGGGGCAGCTAAAACTGGGCTTCAGCATTCACTGCTGCCTTTAAGAGGACTTTATGCAGCCCTCCTTCGCTCTGCACCCCCCTCCCTCCCTCCCTGATTTCTAAATGAAGGTGTTATTTGCTCCTAAACATCAGAAACACAGTCTGTGCGTGCGCATGTGTGTTGTTGTTAGCTCTAACGTAAACAAAACCCAATAAGTTAAAGAGTGTAAGCAACATGCTCTGCACACATACATACACACACACACACACACAGATCTGTAAAGACGTCTGAAATATTACCATGTCTGGCCACGTCCCCCAAACCCTTAATTGTGTTTTTCATTAAAGGGGCGAGATGTGTCGCCATTGCGCTAATAGCCGCCAACAGAGACAGGGAGAGAGGGTGGAGACAGAAAGAGAGCGAGAGGACGAGAGGAGAGGAAGAGAAAGAGATTAGATTAGATGAGTTTAATAGTCACATGTACAGGGTTGCAGATGTAATTACAGCGTACAGTGAAATTCTTGAGCTCCAACAATGCAGTGAAATAAAATAATATCATTTAAAAAATAAAATAGAAACAATAATATATTCATATTAACAACTGCGGCAATTATACATGTTTGTGGGGGTAGGGTAAATGTCCGTTGAGCAGGGGGGGGGGGGACAGGGGGAGGAGGTAGCTAATTGGTGGTGGCTAGTCAGTAGCCTGATGGTCTAGGGGTAGAAGCAATTGGCCAGTCTTACAGTTTTTGCCATGATGCTCCTGTACTGCCCGCGTCTGAGTGATGATCTTCTTGGCCTTCCTGTGACTACTGGTGTTGTTGGTGTCCTGGAGGGCAGGCATTGTGCACCCAATGGTGCGTTCGGCTGAGCGTACCACCCTCTGTAGCGCCTTGCGGTCTGCAGTTGTGGAGTTGCCATACCAGGCTGTGATGCAGCCCGACAGTATGCTGTTGATGGTGCTCCTGTATAACACTGTGAGGGCACTCGGGGGACAAGAGCCGCTGTCGTGCCTTCTTCACCATGATGTCCGTGTGGTTTGACCCTTTCAGCTCCTTGGAGATGTGTACGGTGAGGAACCTGACGTTTTTGACCGTCTCCACGGTGGCCCTGTTGATGAGGATTGGGGCGTGTCCAGCCTGGTTCCTCCTGAAGTCCACAATCAGCTCCTTTGTTTTGCTGACGTTGAAGGAGAGGTTGTTTACCTGGCACCATGCCGTCAGAGTGCCCACCTCCTCCCTGTAGGCCGTCTTGTTGTTGTTGGTAATCAGGCCTACTACTGTCGTGTCGTCAGCGAACTTGATGATGGAGTTGGAGCTGTGTGAGACCACGCAGTCGTGGGTAGTACAGGAGGGTCTGAGGACGCACCCTTGTGGGGCCCCAATGTTGAGAATCAATGTCGAGGAGGTAATGTTGCCTACCTTAACCACCTGGGGGCGGCCCGTCAGGAAGTCCAGAACCAAGTTGCATAGGGAGGAGTTCAGTCCCTGGGCCGTGAGCTTAGAGGGCACTATGGTGTTGAAGGCCGAGCTGTAGTCAATGAACAGCATCCTCACATATGCATTCCTTTTGTCCAGGTGGGTGAGGGCAGTGTGCAGTACAATGGTGATTGCGTCGTCCATGGATCTGTCAGGGCGGTAGGAGAGGGTCGAGTGTGTTGGGGAGGGAGGCGGTGATGTGGTCTTTGACTAGCCTCTCGAAGCACTTCATGATGACGGACGTGAGTGCAACTGGTCGGTAGTCATTCAGTTCAGTTACTTTCCCTTTCTTGGGCACAGGGATGATAGTGGACAGAGGGGGAAGAGAGAGAGAGAGAGAGAGAGATAGAGAGAGAGAGAGAGAAGAGATAAGATAGAGAGAGAGAGCAGAGAGAGAGAGAGATGAATAGAAAGGTAGGATCTAAATGCGATCATCTCTCTCTCTCTTCTCTACGCTATCTCCCTCTCTTCTCCCCCTCCTCGTCTAAATATGTGGGGTGTAAATCAACCCTATTAATAAGGGCTCATTAGGTAAGGCCATTAACAGTGTAAATCTGGATTAACAGTGTAAATCTGGATTAGGACAGTTTAAACAAGCCCCAGGCCATTATACCTCCTCAGTTTGATTATTCACCTGAATGTTTGATCATTGCCACATCAATCCAATGTAACCTATCCGTCAGTAGCCCACGTTCATGGCAAACTGTGTACCTTTTGTCCCTCCAAAGCAGCCCTAGGCTTGCATCCTAAATGGCAACCTATTCCCTATATAATGCACTACTTTTGATTAAAGCCTTATGGGCTCAAAAGTAGTGTACTACATAGGGGATAGGCTGCCATTTTGAACGCAGCCCTAGTCTCAACGTGCCAGAGAGTGAGTGGTCAAATATGAAACACCTGCATAGAGGGAAAGGGTTTGTTTTTCCTGCATTTCTCATATATTCCTTTGAGACTCCAGATTTGTCATGATGGAAGCGGATATTAATTGACAGCATGGACAAAGAACTGTCGGAATATGTCACATATATTTTATTGTTAATAAAGAGCAAGGAAATAATCAACTGGGTGATGCTATCTAACTTATTTTTTTGGAAGAGTGTTCAGATATTGATTGTTGTTGTTGCTGATGATGTTGTTGTTGTTGTTGACATGCATGAGCCCACCACTCACCAGCCCATCTCTTCTCTCTGTGTATCCCTACAGGCGGACCCCCAGGGGCAGGACATAGCCATCCGGCCCTTCCTGGAACACTGTGAGAACACACACATGACCATTTGGCTGGGGATCGTCTACGCTTACAAGGGCCTGCTTATGGTGAGTAAGAAGAGAGACTGTGGTGTGTGTGTGTGCCAAATCAAATCAATCCATTTTATTTGTCACATGCGCCAAATACAACAGGTGAAATGCTTACTTACAAGCCCTTAACCAACAATACAGTTTTAAGCAAAATAAGTGTTAAGTAAACAATAGATAAGTAAAAAATAAAAGCAGTAAAATGACAGTAAAAATAACAGTAGCGAGGCTGTATACAGGGGTAGCGGTACAGAGTCAATGTGCAGGGGCACCCCCCCCTAAAAAAAAAAACTTTTTTTAAAAAGATTTAAAAATTATATATATATATATATATGAATAGAAAACATACAAACAATATATAAAAATACATTGTAAAGTGGTTGTACTACTGCTTGTAAGGTGAATGCACCAATTTGTAAGTCGCTCTGGATAAGAGCGTCTGCTAAATGACGTAAATGTAAATGTAAATGTAATATGTACATGTAGGTATAGTTAAAGTGACTATGCATAGATAATAAACAGAGAGTAGCAGCAGCGTAAAAGAGGGGGTGGGGGGGGCAATACAAATAGTCTGGGTGGCCATTTGACTAGCTGTTCAGGAGTCTTATGGCTTGGGAGTAGAAGCTGTTAAGAAGCCTTTTGGACCTAGACTTGGCGCTCCGGTACCGCTTACCGTGCGTTAGCAGACAGAACAGTCTATGACTAGGGTGGCTGGAGTCTTTGACAGTTTTTATGGCCTTCCTCTGACACCGCCTGGTAGGCAAGGAAGCTTGGCCACAGTGATGTACTGGGCCGTACGCACTACCCTCTGTAGTGCCTTGCAGTCAGAGGCCGAGCAGTTGCCATACCAGGCATTGATGCAACCAGTCAGGATGTTCTCGATGGTGCAGCTGTAGAACTTTTTGAGGATCTGAGGACCCATGCCAAATCTTTTCAGTCTCCTGAGGGGGAATAGGCTTTGTTGTGCCCTCTTCACAACTGTCTTGGTGTGTTTGGACCATGATAGTTTGTTGGTGATGTGGACACCAAGGAACTTGAAGCTCTCAACCTGCTCCACTACAGCCCAGTCAATGAGAATTGGGGCATGCTCGGTTCTTCTTTTCCTGTAGTCCACAATCATCTCCTTTGTCTTGATCACGTTGAGGGAGAGGTTGATATCCTGGCACCACACGGCCAGGTCTTTGACCTCCTCCCTATAGGCTGTCTCATCGTTGTCGGTGCTCAGGCCTACCACTGTTGTGTCGTCGGCAAACTTAATGATGGTGTTGGAGTCGTGCCTGGCCATGCAGACATGGGTGAACAGGGAGTACAGGAGGGGACTGAGCATGCACCCCTGAGGGGCCCCTGTGTTGAGGATCAGCGTGGCAGATGTGTTGTTACCTACCCTTACCACCTGGGGGCGGCCCGTCAGGAAGTCCAGGATCCAGTTGCAGAGGGAGGTGTTTAGTCCCAGGGTCCTTAGCTTAGTGATGAGCTTTGAGGGTAGTATGGTGTTGAACACTGAGAATGAATAGCATTCTCACGTAGGTGTTTCTTTTGTCCAGGTGGGAAAGGGCAGTGTGGAGTGCAATAGAGATTGCATCATCCGTGGATCTGTTGGGGCGGAATGCAAATTGAAGTGGGTATAGGGTTTCTGGGATAATGGTGTTAATGTGAGTCATGTCCAGCCTTTCAAAGCACTTCATGGCTACAGACGTGAGTGCTACGGGTCTGTAGTCATTTAGGCAGGTTACCTTAGTGTTCTTGGGCACAGGGACTATGGTTGTCTGCTTGAAATGTCAGTGAAGACACTTGCCAGTTGGTCAGCGCATGCTCGGAGTACATGTCCTGGTAATCCGTCTGGCCCTGCGGCCTTGTGAATGTTGATCTGTTTAAAGGTCTTACTCACATCGGCTACGGAGAGCGTGTTCACACAGTCGTCCGGAACAGCTGATGCTCTCATGCATGCTTCAGTGTTGCTTGCCTCGAAGCGAGCATAGAAGTGATTTAGCTCGTCTGGTAGGTTCGTGTCACTGGGCAGCTCGCGGCTGTGCTTCCCTTTGTAGTCTGTAATAGTTTGCAAGCCCTGCCACATCCGACGAGCGTCAGAGCCGGTGTAGTACGATTCAATCTTAGTCCTGTATTGACTCTTTGCCTGTTTGATGGTTCGTCGGAGGGCATAGCGGGATTTCTTATAAGCGTCCGGAATAGAGTCCCGCTCCTTAAAAGCAGCAGCTCTACCCTTTAGCTCAGTGCGGATGTTACCTGTAATCCATGGTATCTGGTTGGGATATGTACGTACAGTCACTGTGGGGACGACGTCATCAATGCACTTAATGATGAAGCCAGTGACTGATGTGGTGTACTCCTCAATGCCATCGGAAGAATCCCTGAACATATTCCAGTCTGGTAGCTTAGAAAAACATCCCTGTAGCTTAGCATCTGACCACTTCTTTATTGACCGAGTCACTGGTGCTTCCTGCTTTAGTTTTTGTTTGTAAGCAGGATTCAGGAGGATAGAATTGTGGTCAGATTTGCCAAATGGAGGGCGTGGGTAAGCTTTTTATGCGTCTTTGTGTGTGGAGTAAAGGTGGTCTAGAGTTTTTTTTCCTCTGGTTGCACATTTAACATGCTGGTAGAAATTAGGTAAAACGGATTTAAGTTTCCCTGCATTAAAGTCCCCGGCCACTATGAGTGCCGCCTCAGGATGAGCATTTTCCTGTTTGTTTATGGCCTTATACAGCTCATTGAGTGCGTTCTTAGTGCCAGCATCGGTTTGTGGTGGTAAATAGACCGCTACGAAAAATATAGATGAAAACTCAATTGGTAAATAGTGTGGTCTACAGCTTATCATGAGATACTCTACCTCAGGCGAGCAAAACCTCGAGACTTCCTTAATATTAGATTTTGTGCCCCAGCTGTCGTTTACAAATATACAGAGACCGCCCTTGTCTTACCGGAGGCCGTTGTTCTATCTTGCCGATGCAGCGTAAGCTCCGCCAGCTGTTGTTCAGCCACGACTCGGTGAAACGTAAGATATTACAGTTTTTAATGTCCTGTTGGTAGGATATTGGTGATCGTGGCTCGTCAATTTTGTTATCCAATGATTGTACGTTGGCTAATAGGGCTGATGGAAGAGGCAGATTACCCACTCGCCGTCGGATCCTTACAAGGCACCCCTCACCTATGTCCCCGATATCTCCGTCTCTTTCTCCTGCGAATGACAGGGATTTGGGCGTTGTCGGGTGTCTGAAGTAAATCCTTCGCGTCCGACTCGATGAAATAAAAAATAATCTTTGTCCAGTACGAGGTGAGTAATTGCTGTCCTGATATCCAGAAGCTCTTTTCGGTCATAAGAGACGGTGGCAGAAACATTATGTACAAAATAAGTTACAAATAACACGAAAAAACACACAATAACACATAATAGCGCAATTGGTTAGGAGCCTGTAAAACGGCAGCCATCTCCTCCGGCGCCATTATCTACATTTTCTACTGTGTGTGCGTGTGTGTGTGTGCGTGCGTGTGTGTGCACGCATGTGTGTGTGTGTGTGTGTGTGTGTGCACGTCCATCGATACCTACAAAGGCCTACTCATGGTTAGGGAGGTAGTCTGTGAGACACAGGGAAGGAAGAGATGTTCAATAACAAGTTCTCTGCCACACACAAAGCACACATATGGTAAATATATCTGTGTCTACATACAGTGAGGGAAAAAAGTATTTGATCCCCTAATGATTTTCTATGTTTGCCCACTGACAAAGAAATGATCAGTCTATAATTTTAATGGTAGGTTTATTTGAACAGTGAGAGACAGAATAACAACAAAAAAATCCAGAAAAACGCATGTCAAAAATGTTATAAATTGATTTTCATTTTAATGAGGGAAATAAGTATTTGACCCCTCTCAATCAGCAAGATTTCTGCCTCCCAGGTGTATTTTATACAGGTAAAGAGCTGAGATTATGAGCACACTCTTAAAGGGAGTGCTCCTAATCTCAGTTTGTTACCTGTATAAAAGACACCTGTCCACAGAAGCAATCAATCAATCAGATTCCAAACTCTCCACCATGGCCAAGACCAAAGACCTCTCCAAGGATGTCAGGGACAAGATTGTAGACCTACACAAGGCTGGAATGGGCTACAAGACCATCGCCAAGCAGCTTGGTGAGAAGGTAACAACAGTTTGTGCGATTATTCGCAAATGGAAGAAACACAAAAGAACTGTAAATCTCCCTCGGCCTGGGGCTCCATGCAAGATCTCACCTCGTGGAGTTGCAATGATCATGAGAACGGTGAGGAATCAGCCCAGAACTACACGGGAGGATCTTGTCAATGATCTCAAGGCAGCTGGGACCATAGTCACCAAGAAAACAATTGGTAACACACTACGCCGTGAAGGACTGAAATCCTGCAGCACCCGCAAGGTCCCCCTACTCAAGAAAGCACATATACAGGCCCATCTGAAGTTTGCCAATGAACATCTGAATGATTCAGAGGAGAACTGGGTGAAAGTGTTGTGGTCAGATGAGACCAAAATCGAGCTCTTTGGCATCAACTCAACTCGCCGTGTTTGGAGGAGGAGGAATGCTGCCTATGATCCCAAAAACACCATCCCCACCGTCAAACATGGAGGTGGAAACATTATGCTTTGGGGGTGTTTTTCTGCTAAGGGGACAGGACAACTTCACCGCATCAAAGGGACGATGGACAGGGCCATGTACCGTCAAATCTTGGGTGAGAACCTCCTTCCCTCAGCCAGGGCATTGAAAATGGGTCGTGGATGGGTATTCCAGCATGACAATGACCCAAAACACACGGCCAAGACAACAAAGGAGTGGCTCAAGAAGAAGCACATTAAGGTCCTGGAGTGGCCTAGCCAGTCTCCAGACCTTAATCCCATAGAAAATCTGTGGAGGGAGCTGAAGGTTCGAGTTGCCAAACGTCAGCCTCGAAACCTTAATGACTTGGAGAAGATCTGCAAAGAGGAGTGGGACAAAATCCCTCCTGAGATGTGTGCAAACCTGGTGGCCAACTACAAGAAACGTCTGACCTCTGTGATTGCCAACAAGGGTTTTGCCACCAAGTACTAAGTCATGTTTTGCAGAGGGGTCAAATACTTATTTCCCTCATTAAAATGCAAATCAATTTATAACTTTTTTGACATGCGTTTTTCTGGATTTTTGTTGTTGTTATTCTGTCTCTCACTGTTCAAATAAACCTACCATTAAAATTATAGACTGATCATGTCTTTGTCAGTGGGTAAATGTACAAAATCAGCAGGGGATCAAATACTTTTTTCCCTCACTGTTTGTTAGATGTCGATTTCATCAGGCATAGAGCACATTCTATTATTCTATGTAAATACTGGGGTATGACTCCTACTTTACACATAGAGAAAGAGCACATGGCCTGGCATTGAATTTTCATTAGTGTATAGACAGGAAACTGAGTTCATTGATAGATTACCGACAATTAACTTGTCCTTTATTAAAGACACCCTTTCACTGTGAGAAAGAGAAATACAGGAAACACAAAAGTATTCAACTTTGACACCTCTTTGATCACTGTTCTCTCCCCAACTATATAAGGGTGCTACCATTCTGTAGTGACTAAGTTAATTGTGAGGTGAGCCCCTCACCTGCCACACCTTGTGTGTGTGTGTGTGTGTGTGTGTGTGTGTGTGTGTGTGTCACACTCACCATGCCTTCAAGCAGAGCTCCCAGTGACGTAGTTCACCGAGCCCCTCCAGAAGCCCAGGGTTTCTAAATGAAATGTGACAACTTTGAAAATGTTCTTCTTCCCTTCGGCTGGCATGTTTGAATACCTTAACTAGCCTAGACTGTAAATAATTCAGCCTTTAAGTCCACTTATAGCCATGAGAGAGAACGAGAGAGAGAAAGAGTGGGAGAGAGATACAGGTTTTGCAAGAGAAAAAAAAGCTAGAGAGAAAGAGAGAGAGGAGAGCTAGAGAGAGAAAAGAGAGGGAGAGAGAGAGAACAGACAGGTGGAGAGAGATGAAGAGAGAGAGGGTGGGATGAGGAAGAGAGTGAGAGAGAGGGGTGTGTGTTAGAGAGAAAGAAAGAGGGATGAAGCCTAAGAACGGTAAAAACAGTGAGAGGCAGACAGAAAAAAAGGAGAGTGAGAGAGAGAGTAAAACAAAAAGAGAAAGAGAGAACAGACAGAGGGAGAGCACAGGGACAGAAAGAGAGAACAGACAGAGGGAGAGCACAGGGACAGAAAGAGAGAGAGAACAGACAGAAGGAGAGCACAGGGACAGAAAGAGAGAGAGAACAGACAGAAGGAGAGCACAGGGACAGAAAGAAAGAGAGAACAGACAGAGGGAGAGCACAGGGACAGAAAGAAAGAGAGAACAGACAGAAGGAGAGCACAGGGACAGAAAGAAAGAGAGAACAGACAGAGGGAGAGCACAGGGACAGAAAGAAAGAGAGAACAGACAGAGGGAGAGCACAGGGACAGAAAGTGAGAGAGAACAGACAGAGGGAGAGCACAGGGACAGAAAGAGAGAGAAAACAGACAGAGGGAGAGCACAGGGACAGAAAGAAAGAGAGAACAGACAGAGGGAGAGCACAGGGACAGAAAGTGAGAGAGAACAGACAGAGGGAGAGCACAGGGACAGAAAGAGAGAGAAAACAGACAGAGGGAGAGCACAGGGACAGAAAAAAAGAGAGAACAGACAGAGGGAGAGCACAGGGACAGAAAAGAAAGAGAACAGACAGAGGAGAGCACAGGGACAGAAAGAAGAGAGAGAAACAGACGAGGAGAGCACAGGGACAAAAGAAAGAGAGAACGACAGAGGGAGAGCACAGGGACAGAAAGAGAGAACAGACAGAAGGAGAGCACAGGGACAGAAAGAAAGAGAGAACAGACAGAAGGAGAGCACAGGGACAGAAAGAAAGAGAACGACAGAAGAGAGCAAGACGAAAAAGAAGCGAGAGCACAGGGACAGAAAGAAAGAGAGAACAGACGAGGGAGAGCACAGGGACAGAAAGAAAGAGAAAACAGACAGAGGGAGAGCACAGGGACAGAAAGAAAGAGAGAACAGACAGAGGGAGAGCACAGGGACAGAAAGAAAGAGAGAACAGACAGAGGGAGAGCACAGGGACAGAAAGAAAGAGAGAACAGACAGAAGGAGAGCACAGGGACAGAAAGAAAGAGAGAACAGACAGAGGGAGATCGCAGGGACAGAAAGAAAGACACATGGGGCGACAGACTTCAAAGTTCTTGTGTCTGAGACAAACCTGGGACATGACAATAGTAGGAGCAGCATCTGAGGGTTGAGTCATCATCTCTATATGGCACACACACACACACACACACACACACCTATTTGTCATCTGTGACGACTGCCCCTGAAATGCTGCTACTTGTCATTTTAGTTTAAGACTCATTAACAGTTCAATTAATCCCACTCTACAGCGCTTAACTCCTACATTATTCATTAGAATGTTGAGAGACACTGGGGTTCTGTTCTGGAATACTCCATGAAGTGAACACTCAGAAAATAACCCATTTATGACCCCAAAATCAAAAGGCTTTCTAAGTTTACATTCAATGCTGCTGTCTGCTATAGGGTGCTGTAGGTCACGTTAGATGGTATAATTCATGTATTTTGTGTACATAATGAGCTGTCTCCCTTCTATTTTATTTTCTCCTCCCCTCTCCTCCTGCCCTCTCCTCCCCTCTCTTCTGACTTTTCTGTTCCTCTCCTCTCGTCCTACCCTCCTCTTCTCCTCTCCTCTCTCCTCTTCTCTACTCCTACCCTTCTCTCCTCTCCCCTCTCCTCCAGTTGTTTGGTTGTTTCCTGGCCTGGGAGACGAGGAATGTGAGCATCCCGGCCCTGAATGACAGCAAGTACATCGGGATGAGTGTGTACAATGTGGGCATCATGTGTATCATCGGGGCAGCCGTGTCCTTTCTCACGCGAGACCAGCCCAATGTGCAGTTCTGCATCGTGGCTCTGGTCATCATCTTCTGCAGTACCATCACTCTCTGTCTGGTGTTTGTGCCAAAGGTAAGGACGACAGAAAATAGCAGTGTCACTTCCTGTCCATCCAAGGTGCATGAACTGTAGAACAAACTACACTGAACAAAAATATAAACGCAACATGTAAAGTGTTGGTCCCATGTTTCATGAGCTGAAATAAAAGATTCCAGAAATGTTCCATACGGATAAAAAGCTTATTTCTCTCAAATTTTGTGCACAAATTTGTTTACATCCCTTTTAGTGAACATTTCTCCTTTGCCAAGATAATCCATCCACCTGACAGGTGTGGCATATCAAGAAGCTGATTAAACAGCATGCTCAGGTGCATCTTGTGCTGGGGACAATAAAAGGCCACTCTAAACTGTGCAGTTTTGTCACACAACACAATGCCACAGATGTCTCAAGTTTTGAGGGAGCGTGCAATTGGCATGCTGACTGCAGGAACGTCCACCATAAGCCACCTCCAACGTTGTTTTAGAGAATTTGGCAGTACGTCCAACCGGCCTCACAACCGCAGACCACGTGTAACCATGCCAGCCCAGGACCTCCACATCCGGCTTCTTCACCTGCGGGATCTTCTGAGACCAGCCACCCAGACAACTGATGAAACTAAGCAGTTTTTATGCCTGTATTAAAGCTCTTTTGTGGGGAAAAACTAATTCTGATTGGCTGGGAATGGCTCCCCAATGGGTGGGCCTATGCCCTCCAAGGCCCACCCATGGCTGTGCCCCTGCCCAGTCATGTGAAATCCATAGATTAGGGCCTAATGAATTTATTTGAATTGACTGATTTCCACTCTTAAGAGGATCTCAGAAAGTATAACGTTACTGATTGTATGAACTACTTTCCCTTGTACTTTCCCTTGTATTTAAAACATTAAAATGTGAGTGAGTAAGTGTAACATGACACCAGAGGAGGAATGGGATGTGACACCTTAACCTGTCCTTCTAAGCCACTCCCCTTTATTATGACAACTTGCAGTTCATCACGATGAGGACCAATCCGGACGCAGCTACTCAGAACCGTAGGTTAAAGTTCAATACGAACCAGAAGAAAGAGGACTCCAAGATGTCCACGTCAGTAACCAGTGTGAACCAGGCTAACACGTCCAGACTGGACGGCCTGCAGACCGACAACCACCGCCTCCGCATGAAGATAACAGAGGTGACTTCATCATTATGTTGTCTTGTGTCACGTCATGTTTCACGAAGAGGGCAAGTAGTCTTTCCCCACCACATGACCTGACCTGTTACCTACATTTAGTACCCAGAGGTTTCCCTGGTCAACTTTACATGGTCAGAAAAAACTCCTGTTGATGAAGATCATTGTGACCAGAATGACACCCTGTTTTTTAGGATTTACTGTATCTAAAGTATGGTATTATTCATTGGTGAGAGTAGGAGAGGTCACACTTAGAGCCTGCCTTATCTCTAATAGGCCCTGTCTGTCAGTAGCACCATCTTGTATCCTCCTTTCTACTTTAATTTACAAATATATGATGTTTTATGTCTTTGACGTTGAATGACATGAGGAGAAATCTCATGCCAATCACTTTTCCAGAAATCTCTCTGCATTTCACTGTATCTACTCCCTTCTAGCAGTGTAAGAGTAGCCGTTGCCTCAGTGTAAGAGTAGTTGTTGCCCTTCTAGTTGTTGCTAGTGCTTGAAGTACAATGGAGTTGAATAGAAACGTATCAAAATCAATACATTTCCATAGACGGCCCTGATCTGTCCTTGACGCTTTTTTCCTATCACTGTTTAACAACTCTATTTTAACAACTTAACACTATTTTAACCCCTTAACCCCTTTTAACACAATTTATCTGTGCAGTTGGATAAGGAACTGGAGGAGGTGACCATGCAGCTGCAGGACACCCCAGAGAAGACCCCGTACATCAAACAGAACCACTACGGAGACGTCAACAACATCCTTAGCATACGCAACTTTACAGACGGCAAAGGTGACATGCCGCTGCTACTTTTGTATACACTTCTACAGTATCATTTACATTTACATTTTAGTCATTTAGCAGACGCTCTTATCCAGAGCGACTTACAGTTAGTGTATACATATCTTTTTATACTGGCCCCCCGTGGGAATCGAACCCACAACCCTGGCGTTGCAAACGCCATGCTCTATCAACTGAGCTACATCCCTGCCGGCCATTCCCTCCCCTACCCTGGACGACGCTGGGCCAATTGTGCGCCGCCCATGAGTCTCCCGGTCGCGGCCGGCTGCGACAGAGCCTGGATTCGAACCAGGATCTCTAGTGGCACAGTTAGCACTGCGATGCAGTGCCTTAGACCAGACACACCTCTGTCAGCCTGGACTGCTGCTGACACATTAACTGTCTACACATTGTTCTCTCTGAAGAGATTAACACTATCTGTCCACCGAATACAGTACATAGGCAACAACAAGCTTTTAATTGTTACTCCAGTTTCTTGTCTGCTAATTATGATACCGTACTACTATCTCTGTGTGTGAGAGCTTCAGTTTCCTCGGTGTCCACATCACTAAGGATTTATTAGGGTCCACATGTCAACACAGTTGTGAAGAGGGCACGACAACACCTATACCCCCTCAGGAGGCTAAAAATATTTAACATGGGCCCTCAGATCCTCAAAAAGTTATCAAGAGCATCTTGACTGGCTGCATCACCGCTTGGTACGGCAACTGCTCGGCATCCAACCCTAAGGCGCTACAGAGGGTAGTGCGTATGGCCCAGTACATCACTGGGGCCGAGCTCCCTGCCATCCAGGACCTCTATACCAAATGGTCAAAAACTCCAGCCACCCAAGTCATAGACTGTTCTCTCTGCTACCGCACGGCAAGCGGTACCGGAGCTCCAAGTCTGGGACTCTCTTGCACTGGCTCTATGCACACACTCACTGGACTCTACTCACACACTCACACATACTACACTGACACTCCAATACACACACACACACACACACACACACACACACACACACACTACATACACAAAACACACACACACACATGCATATTGATGCCCATACACACACACTCACACATAGACACACGTTCAGACTATTCACATATGCTTCTGGTACTCTGTTTATTATCTATCCTGATTACCTAGTCACTTTTACCCCTACTTACATTTACATATTACCTCAATTACCTCAACTACCTCGTACCCCTGCACATTGACTCGGTACCAGTACTCCTTGTATATAGCCTCGTTATTGTTATTTTATTGTTACTATTTTAAAAACATATATACACTACCGGTCAAAGGTTTTAGAACACATACGCATTCAAGGGTTTTTCTTTATTTTTACTATTCTCTCCATTGTAGAATAATAGTGAAGACATCATCAAAACTATGAAATAACACATATGGAATCATGTAGTAACCAAAAAAGTGTTAAACAAATCAAAGTATATTTTATATTTGAGATTCTTCAAATAGCAACCCTTTGCCTTGATGACAGCTTTGCACACTTTTGGCATTCTCTCAACCAGCTTCACCTGGAATGCTTTTCCAACAGTCCTGAAGGAGTTCCCACATATGCTGAGCACTTGTTGGCTGCTTTTCCTTCCCTCTGCGTTCCGACTCATCCCAAACCATCTCAATTTGGTTGAGGTCGCGGGATTGTGGAGGCCAGGTCATCTGATGCAGCACTCCATCACTCTTTTTCTTGGTAAAATAGCACTTACACAGCCTGGAGGTGTGTTGGGTCATTGTCCTGTTGAAAAACAAATGATAGTCCCACTAAGCCCAAACCAGATGGGAATCGCTGCAGAATGCTGTGGTAGCCATGCTAGTTAATTGTGCCTTGAATTCTAAATAAATCACAGACAGTGTCACCAGCAAAGCACCCCCACACCATCACACCTCCTCCTCTATGCTTTAAGGTGGGAGCTACACATGCAGAGATCATCCGTTCACCCACACCGCGTCTCACAAAGACACGGCGGTTGGAACCAAAAATCTCAAATTTGGACTCCAGACCAAAGGACAAATTTCATGTTTCTTGGCCCAAGCAGGTCTCTTCTTATTATTGGTGTCCTTTAGTAGTGGTTTCTTTGCAGCAATTTGACCATGAAGGCCTGATTCACACAGTCTCCTCTGAACAGTTGATGTTGAGATGTGTCTGTTACTTGAACTCTGTGAAGCATTTATTTGGGCTGCAATTTCTGAGGCTGGTAACTTTAATGAACTTATCCTCTGCAGCCGAGGTAACTCTAGGTCTTCCATTCCTGTGGCGGTCCTCATGAGAGCCAGTTTCATCATAGCGCTGGAGGGTTTTTGCGACTGCACTTGAAAAAACTTTCAAAGTTGAAATGTTCCATATTGACAGACCTTCATGTCTTAAAGTAATGATGGACTGTCGTTTCTCTTTGCTTATTTAAGCTGTTCTTGCCATGATATATGGACTATGCCTTTTACCAAATAGGGCTATCTTCTGTATACCCCCCCCCCCCCCCCCCCCCCCCACCTTGTCACAACACAACTGATTGGCTCAAACGCATTAAGAAGGAAATAAATTCCACAAATTAACTTTTAAGACGGCACACCTGTTAATTGAAATGCATTTCAGGTGACTACCTCATGAAGCTGGTTAAGAGAATGCCAAAAGTGTGCAAAGCTGTCATCAAGGCAATTTGAAGAATCTCAAATATAAAATATATTTTAATTTGTTTAACACTTTCTTGGTTACTACATGACTACATATGTGTTATTTCATAGTTTTGATGTCGGACTCGTAAGTAAGCATTTCAAGGTAAAGTTGTGTTCGGCATGTGACAAATAACATTTTATTTGATTTTGATATCTTGTCGACAACTACACCACAGTGCCTCTATTAGTTCAGTACTACAGTATCCCAACCCCAAGTTTGTTGATTATTCAATGATAAGCTTCTGTTCAGAATGCAGGCTGACAGACAGACATATAATGGGTCATTATATTCACCATAAGGATTCAGCCACATCTTAGAGCACATCACCACATCCATATCTCTGCCTGAGAATCCTCATCGCTCCTCTAACTGCAGCAATCAGTATTCATGAGACTTCCTGGACTAAACGCTGTGAATGAGTGGCTGTTATGAGTACGACACAGTGTCAACAGTGATTACAATCACAACCAAGCACGAGCAACACTCTCAGTAGGCCATGAATATTCATCAGCACATCGTGTGGCCTGGTGGAGGTTGAGCGGTGGGGTTGAATGACTCAAGGACTATGACACCACCCATATTAGGAATTCCCTCAGTTGAATTCCCCCAGTTGAACAGAGTTTGGTCTGACAATTGAGTCTATGGATGCTGTAGAGGATCTGGAGAATAACACAGAACAAGGTTATTGCTCAGGAGGTAGTGACTTTTCACAATAAATTGCACTTGCACTTTGACACCGTCCCACCGACACTTTTTTCAGAGGTGGGTTTATGCATTTTGTAATCTCTAAACAGGATTATACCGTGAATCGCATGAATTGCTCATATGCAACCAAGTCCATATGAATCCATTATGCTATGTTAACATATCCGCTGCAGTAGCCCTATCTAACAATCAGAGAAAAGAAGTACAAGGAAGCAGCTTTTTTCCATCAGAGGGAGGTTATTTTTATCTAAATAGTTTCCACCTCCTCCTCTTTAGATGCATATTGAGGACACAATGCTGCGGTGTGATCTTCAAATCAGGTCAATGTTATGCTAAGAGGTTAAAATCTGGGACAACTGGAGAGGAAAAAATAGACGCAAAAGGGGATACTTTCGGGCCTCCCCAGGTGCTGTTTGAAAGACTGACAAGGCTGTTTACTTTCATTCCAACCGTGTTCACACTCTCCGTCTGTCTCCCACGGTGATGAGTCTGTTCCCCCCCTGGACTGAAATATTTCCCACAACATCATGAAGCACAGCAGTCTCCCTCTCTCTCCATCTCTCCATCTCTCTCTCCATCTCTCTCTGTCTCTCCTCATTTATCTCTCTCTCTCTCTCTCTCTCTCTCTCTCTCTCTCTCTCTCTCTCTCTCTCTCTCTCTCTCTTTCTCTGTCGCTCTGACTATGCTACCAGCAGAGCTCCATTTGACATGTGTTGAACTCATAGAACAGAAGTGTTTTTAGTGTTTTTGATGTAATTCTCAACAGATATTGTATCAGAAAATTGAAGCTCTAACAGACAAATTAAGATTTCAAAAATCTTCAGTCAATATTTTCATACTTAGCATTTGTTTTGAGAGAGTGCTTGACATGCATTTTGTAATGATACAGTAGCTATTAATATGACTTATAATAGCTACTGTATTAATAGCTACATCCTTCTGTGGCCTTAGCTTCTCAGGTGTTTTGATCTGAACCAAGGAGAGAGGACATATACAGTGGGGGCATCGTAAATGGCACCCTATACCCTATATAGCAGTGGTATTCAAACTTTTTTATTTAAGAATATCTCGCGACCCGGCCACACCCCAAATCTGTACATTTAGATTTTTATATCAACAAATAACCTTCAATTCATTACATTTTCATGAAACCAATAAATGTATTTACTCAATAACATTTAGTTTTTCAATGTATCTTTCTCATAAAGGTGTGTATATTCTCACTTACAAACATCTGCAATCTAATTTTTTTGTGTGTACAGTTGAAGTCGGATGTTCACATACACTTAGGTTGGAGTCATTAAAACTAGTTTTTCAACCACTCCACAAATGTCTTGTTAACAAACTATAGTTTTGGTAAGTCGGTTAGGACATCTACTTTGTGCATGACACAAGTAATTTTTCCAACAATTGTTTACAGACAGATTATTTCACTTATAATTCACTGTATCACAATTCCAGTGGGTCAGAAGTTTACTAAGTTGATTGTGCCTTTAAACAGCTTGGGAAATTCCAGAAAATGATGTCATGGCTTTAGAAGCTTATGATAGGCTAATTGACATAATTTGAGTCAATTGGAGGTGTAACTGTGAATGTATTTCAAGGCCTACCTTCAAACTCAGTGCCTCTTTGCTTGACATCATGGGAAAATCAAAAGAAATCAGCCAAGACCTCAGAAAATAAATGGTAGACCTCCACAAGTCTGGTTCATCCTTGGGAGCAATTTCCAAATGCCTGAAGGTACCACGTTCATCTGCACAAACAATAGTACGCAAGTATAAACACCATGGGACCACGCAGCCGTCATACCGTTCAGGAAGGAGACGCGTTCTGTCTCCTAGAGATGAACGTACTTTGGTGCGAAAAGTGCAAATCAATCCCAGAACAACAGCAAAGGACCTTGTGAAGATGCTGGAGGAAACAGGTACAAAAGTATCTATATCCACAGTAAAACGAGTCCTATATCGACATAACCTGAAAGGCCGCTCAGCGAGGAAGAAGCTACTGCTCCAAAACCTCCATAAAAAAGCCAGACTACGGTTTGCAACTGCACATGGGGACAAAGATCGTAGTTTTTGGAGAAATGTCCTCTGGTCTGATGAAACAAAAATAGTTTGGCCATAATGACCATCATTATGTTTGGAGGAAAAAGGGGAACGCTTGCAAGCTGAAGAACACCATCCCAACCGTGAAGCACGGGTGTGGCAGCATCATGCTGTGGGGGAGCTTTGCTGCAGGAGGGACTGGTGCACTTCACAAAATAGATGGCATCATGAGGAAGGACAATTATGTGGATATATTGAAGCAACATCTCAAGACATCAGTCAGGAAGTTAAAGCTTGGTCGCAAACAGGTCTTCCAAATGGACAATGACACCAAGCATACTCCCAAAGTTGTGGCAAAATGGCTTAAGGACAACAAAGTCAAGGTATTGGAGTGGCCATCACAAAGCCCTGACCTCAATCCTATAGAACATTTGTGGGCAGAACTGAAAAAGCGTGAGCGAGCAAGGAGGCCTACAAACCTGACTCAGTTACACCAGCTCTGTCAGGAGGAATGGGCCAAAATTCACCCAACTTATTGAGGGAAGCTTGTGGAAGGCTACTCGAAACGTTTGACCCAAGTTAAACAATTTAAAGGCAATGCTACCAAATACTAATTGAGTGTATGTAAACTTCTGACACACTGGGAATGTGATGAAATAAATAAAAGCTGAAATAAATCATTCTCTACTATTATTCTGACATTTCACATTCTTAAAATAAAGTGGTGATCCTAACTAACCTAAGACAGGGAATTTTTACTAGGATTAAATGTCAGGAATTGTGAAAAACTGAGTTTAAATGTATTTGGCTAAGGTGTATGTAAACTTCCGACTTCAACTGTACATTTTGGCGACCCAACTGCGACTTTGAATACCACTGCTATATAGTGCACGACTTTCGGAGTCCTATCGGGTCCTGGTCAAAGGGCATAGGGAGGCATATTGTGGCGTAGTGTTACAGCCTGTATGGTGACTAATCCCGCATCTCTCTGTGTCTTTGCAGAGGGGGAGAAATCTATACTGAAGAATCATCTTGAGCAGAAGCCTCAGGCGCAGTGGGGCTCCATGGACCCTTCCAGAATAAACAGAGGTCCCCTGGAGGATATCAACTCACCTGAACAGTGAGTTCTCTTCAAAACATCTCCCTCCTCCCTCCTTCTAATTCATTTTTTCTTCTTCTTGTTGACTTTTTCAGTAGACTATTGCTACCACCAGCAGCACTGCATGGTGGTTGCTCTGGCAACCAGCTCTGTGAAAGATGGACCAATAAGGTCCCAATCATCTTTCTTTCTTCACACCTACACACACACACACACACACATGTTTGTTTTACTATCCTTGTGGGGACCTAACAATTGATTCCCATTCGAAATCCTATTTTCCTTAACCCCTAACCTTAACAGACCGGGGCAGACATTTGTTGTATTTTGTTGTTTCTTTGAAAATACCAACTTTTTAAATACTCGAGGTGATCGAATATAATTTATATAGAGTTTCAACTAAAAGGCAACTATTTTATTTGATATTCAAATACAGGTCTCAGAAAAACAAAGAATATTAGAAAATATTTTGAATACCTCTCAGAAAACCAAATAATGTTTGAAGGTATTTGAATACAAAAACAAATTATACTTGATGGCCGCCAAATATTTGATGAAGAACCAAAACCTACAACAGTTCGTTGAATTAGTCTAATTACAGTGAGGGAAAAAAGTATTTGATCCCCTGCTGATTTTGTACGTTTGCCCACTGACAAAGACATGATCAGTCTATAATTTTAATGGTAGGTTTATTTGAACAGTGAGAGACAGAATAACAACAAAAAAATCCAGAAAAACGCATGTCAACAATGTTATAAATTGATTTGCATTTTAATGAGGGAAATAAGTATTTGACCCCTCTGACTTAGTAATTCGTGGCAAAACCCTTGTTGGCAATCATAGAGGTCAGACGTTTCTTGTAGTTGGCCACCAGGTTTGTACACATCTCAGGAGGGATTTTGTCCCACTCCTCTTTGCAGATCTTCTCCAAGGTCATTAAGGTTTCGAGCCTGACGATTGGCAACTCGAACCTTCAGCTCCCTCCACAGATTTTCTATGGGATTAAGGTCTGGAGACTGGCTAGGCCACTCCAGGACCTTAATGTGCTACTTCTTGAGCCACTCCTTTGTTGCCTTGGTCTTTTGTTTTGGGTCATTGTCATGCTGGAATACCCATCCATGACCCATTTTCAATGCCCTGGCTGAGGGAAGGAGGTTCTCACCCAAGATTTGACGGTACATGGCCCCGTCCATCGTCCCTTTGATGCGGTGAAGTTGACCTGTCCCCTTAGCAGAAAAACACCCCCAAAGCATAATGTCTCCACCTCCATGTTTGACGGTGGGGATGGTGTTCTTGGGGTCATAGGCAGCATTCCTCTTCCTCCAAACACGGCAAGTTGAGTTGATGCCAAAGAGCTCCATTTTGGTCTCATCTGACCACAACACTTTCACCCAGTTCTCCTCTGACTCATTCAGATGTTCATTGGCAAACTTCAGATGGGCCTGTATATGTGCTTTCTTGAGCAGGGGGACCTTGCGGGCGCTGCAGGATTTCAGTCCTTCATGGCGTAGTGTGTTACCAATTTTTTTCTTGGTGACTATGGTCCCAGCTGCCTTGAGATCATTGACAAGATCCTCCCGTGTAGTTCTGGGCTGATTCCTCACCGTTCTCATGATCATTGCAACTCCATGAGGTGAGATCTTACATTGTGCCCCAGGCCGAGGGAGATTGACAGTTATTTTGTGTTTCTTCCATTTGCAAATAATCGCACCGTTGTTGTCACCTTCTCACCAAGCTGCTTGGCGATGGTCTTGTAGCCCATTCCAGCCTTGTGTAGGTCTACAATCTTGTCCCTGACATCCTTGGAGAGCACTTTGGTCTTGGCCATGGTGGAGAGTTTGGAATCTGATTGATTGATTGCTTCTGTGGACAGGTGTCTTTTATACAGGTAACAAACTGAGATTAGGAGCACTCCCTTTAAGAGTGTGCTCCTAATCTCAGCTCGTTACCTGTATAAATGACACCTGGGAGCCAGAAATCTTTCTGATTGAGAGGGGGTCAAATACTTATTTCCCTCATTAAAATGCAAATCATTTATAACATTTTTGACATGCGTTTTTCTTGATTTTTTTTTGTTATTCTGTCTCTCACTGTTCAAATAAACCTACCATTAAAATTATAGACTGATCATTTCTTTGTCAGTGGGCAAACATACAAAATCAGCAGGGGATCAAATACTTTTTTTCCCTCACTGTATATGATCATAAGCACATGGTTTGGACGGCTCTAAGATATGAATCTTAATATAGCCTATAGCCTAGAATTAAATACATGAGGGACATGGAATCACCTCCAATTACAGTAGACCATGTTTGCAGATTCAAAATGACGAACAATTATATTTTCATAATGAGTGTCATAAGATAATACAGTAACACTTGACACCAGCCATACTTGGTGTAATAGCATTCAAGTGACTTTCAAAAATATTTTTATTAAGGAATTGTAATAATCTATCTACTACTACTACACTGTAGTAAATAAAGTCAGACATCTCTTTTATTAAAGGTAGATCATTCAAGTGATGTTCCCCGTGTTTAAAAAACATGTGTAGTAACTTTGTGATTATAACATTAGCAACATTGTTGTTACATAGGACTTTGAAATGTCTTTATAATTGCATAATAATATTATTACATAAGTGGAATAAGGAACAGTCACTATTCCTTTTGTGTACAGTAGTTACAAAAACTATTACCAAAGTATTATGTAACAACATGCTAGTAAAATGTTTGCTCCAAAAGTAATTTCAGTTGTACACAGGCACAATACGTTTTTTAATGTTAAGTGTTACTGAGAATGCTAACGGTAACAAAATGTGCCTATTAAGTGTAGAAAGAAAACGAAATATCCCAAAACTGCTTTCTTGAATCAAATACAGCCAAGGTAGATTGAAAGTCATGTTAGTTTGTATTCTGAGTAAACAATCCCTTTAAAGATGGTATAGTGTGTGTTTGAAACAAGAACACTTATCTGTACAACATATAAATGGTTAATTGGTTTGACTTGATTATGTAAACCTGGGGTGGTGGACATTCAGGAGAATGAACATTTACAAATGTTCAGATATAAATGTATTGTGTAGATCAAATGAAGAGTTTCATTCCAAAATGCTATAGATCAATGTTCAGAAATCTTGGTAAATTAGCTTTTATTGTTTAAAGAACTTATAAAAGAGATGTGTTTTTTCACCATCTAATCATGGAATAGGGTTGTTCAATGACAGACGTATTTGTTTCAAATCTATCACTTGATGGTTTCATTTCAGAGAGACAAATAATCATGTTTTGCTGCAAAATGCTATATATCCGGTTCACTCTCAGAGAAATAAGTAGTACTGCTAGGCTTTACACAGTCAAATGTAACAAGTAGCTACATTTTTTTAAAAGAAATGTGCGAATGATACATTATTGACATCAATTATTTTATTTTTTAAATCAATACAGTAATATGAGATCTATATGTAAAATATTTACATTTGGCATTTCAGTCATTTAGCAGATGCTCTTACCTAGAGCTACTTACAGTTGTGCATTCATCTTAAGATAGCTAGCTGAGACAAACACATCAAAGTCAATATACAGGATACAAACATTCCATTTCAGCTAAGCAATGGATATATAGCATTAGTTTAAGTCAGCCAATCCAATATTTTCATAAAAGTAGTCACTTTCTCAGATTTGTATTCAAATAGTTTACAAAAGTAGGTACTTTCTGTGATCTGTATTCAAATATTTTTTACTTTCCACAAACTATAGTTAAAACTATAGTTATCCCAGGTCTGAACTCCTAACCCTAATTCTAACCCTAATTCTAACCCTAACCCTAAACTTTACCCCTAAGCCTAAAATAGTCTTTTTCCTTGTGGGGACCAGCAAAATGTTTTACTATCCTTGTGAGGACTTCTGGTTCCCACAAGGATAGTAAAACCAAAAACACACACACACACACACACACACACATAACCAGCAGAGCACAGCTGACTGACTGCATGTTGTCCCAACTCTTAAAATGTGGTGATCCAGAACACTCATAGCACACTCCGGTGACAAATAAAGAACTACCTTCACTTATTAATAACCAGGCTGGGGAATGTCGACTTCATCGGAGAGGGAAAAAATAGTTTATGCATCATTGAGAGCCCTTCATTCCCTCCTCCTCTCCCCCCCCCCGTCCCCCCGTCCCCGTCCCCCGTCCCCCGTCCCCCCGTCCTCCCAGCTCTCCTCTCTCTTCCTCCTACGTTCATCTAACTGGGACTGGATAGAGAGAACACACGAGAGAGAGAGAGAGAGAGAGCATGATAGAGTGAGGACATGAGCGGAAGCAGGAGGATGAAACCGTCACAGAAAAGACACGAAAGAGAGAGAGAGAGAGAGAGAGCATGATAGAGAGAGAGAGAGAGAGCATGATAGAGAGAGAGAGCAATGAGAGAGAGGAGAGAGGAGAACGAGAAGCAAGAGAGAGAGAGAGAGAGAGAGAGAGCCTGATAGAGCCTGATAGATCAGATAGAGAGAGAGAGAGAGAATGATTAGAGAGAAGGATAGGAAGAAATGATAGGTAGAGAAGAGAGAGAGAGAGAGAGAGAGAGAGAGAGAGAGAGAGAGAGAGAGAGGGCAGAAAATAGTTATTATACTTGTACTATACTGTATGTACAGTAGGTCCTTAATGTAGCACCACAGAGATTTAGAAATATATATTTTTTAGAGGGTTTAACACTTTGACAGCACACATGGGAAAAATACTCCTTCAATGTGAACCTTTATTTAGTCAGGTGAATATAATGATGTTTAATTATGCTTACTATGTTAAACCACTCATCACCATGTCTCTCTCTCTTTCTCTCTCTGTCTACAGCATACAGCGCAGGCTGTCGTTGCAGCTGCCCATCCTGCACCATGCCTACCTACCCTCCATAGGGGGGGTGGACGCCAGCTGTACCAGCCCCAACGCCAGCCCCAGCTCCAGCCCGCGGCACAGACACATGCCCCCATCCTACCGGGTCATGGTCTCAGGCCTGTGAGCATCAGTCGCCCCTGCCGCTTCCAAGAAAGACATCCATGTTTAAAAAACAGACTGAGGTCATCAGCGATAGTGGAATAATATGTGTGTTGGACCAGGGAGGGGGAAGTTTGTTCCACTCTTCATGCCTCGGTCTCTAGAACCCCTCTCTAGAACCATGGGTTGGGAAGAGAAAGGGGAGAGGGTACCTTACAAACGACAACACGATCCATAGCAACAACCTCCCTCGGTCTCTCTCCCCCCCTCACCCACCCCCTCAGGCAGCGGAGTACCAGACCTGACCTGACCAGACCTGTAGCGTATCTGCTTTGGAGGGTTTTTATGTTTTTTTTGTCATACACTTGGCTATGTGTGTGCTTGTCAAAAAGTTAGTGTTTCGCTACTTCAATGCCTAGAAGGCGTTACTATAGGAACAAAGAAGTTCCAGATCGGACTGACGTAGGATTCATCACAAGTCACCATTTTGAACAAACATGTAAATATCATACTGACTTTGACTTACCGTAAGCTTTGAGTATGCTGTGAATTAACATATGGGGGGATGGGGGGCAGGTCTGTATCAGGGTAGGCCCTAAAAAACTCTTATAAAAACTAAAAAACTGGCGTCCTACAAAGCAAAATGTAAGACAAATTGGTTTGTGTAATATTACTGCATCATTGTATTGTGTTAATTATGTTAAATGGATTGGCTCATAGCAAGAAGTAAGTCATTTTTCTGTGACTAGCAAAATGTCGAAAGACACCAGCCAGGGGCCAATTATTTTAACTTGGTGTAATATTCACACAGCTTATTTTCCACTTTGCTAAATTTGCACCATTAGTTTTTCTTTAAGATATTATACTATCTCTTTTCATAGGTCTTTAATGTGTTTCAACTCCCATAGTTTAATTTGTCTCCATACAAGCATGAAATACTACAGTACAGGATAATGCCTTTCTGGGTTTAGAGGGCAACAGAACCAAACAAATTTCCAGGAAATAATGAGAATAGTAATGTGACTCTATGTACAGTACGTGTGTTGACATAAACTCAAACAAATACTCACCTACACAAACACATAAAGATACACACCATTAGGTAAAGTGCACACCGTATCCTAGTGGTGTTAGGTGTCCAGACAAGGCTTTGCCAAAGATCAGTCTGAGGACCAGCAAGCTTCCATTACAGCTGGTTGGTCTTTGCCCCACCAGTGTAAATGGTCCAGGAACTGTCATGTCACTCTATGTAGGGAGTGGGGACCACCCAACGCAGCACCCAGAGCCCAGGTGGCCTGCTCTGTTACCTGACTGTTGTGAGGCTGAAGGAGAGGCTTTCTAATGACCATGTTTCATAAGTCAATGAAATAGGTGCATGGTCAGGCAACATCAAAAGTGGTGAGAAACTGAGATAAAAAACTCGGGAAAAAGTTCTGTTGACAATAAATATATTCAGATAGTGAAGAGTGATAAGGATGTGGGTTTGTCATTTAGGTTCCATTAGTAGTTTCGAAACAGTGAAATTACATTTGAAGCTGTTTCAATCAGTACATTTGAATTTCAATTACCGAAATGGCAAGTGGAAAATGCATGTGAGCCGTATGTGAACCCTATCCAGGAGACCACAGCACTGTCAGTCACAGGAACAATGGCACCACAGACTGGGAGAGAAGTGTCAGTAAATCATGACAGGTCTACTATACAGTGATGTTGTGAAAAATCACCTGGCACTTAGCAACAGTGGAACATACCTCATAGTTGCTGTTAAAAAGTTTTTCTGTGTAGTTGGCCCAAAGGTCATTTCTTGTAGTAAAAAGGGCCATAGACATAGCTTGCTATCGTCATTTTATTTGTACAACTGTTGTCACAAGAAAAACACAAAGTGGATGAAATCCATGAATAAGCTACGTATCATCATCAGAAGTCTAAATAGATTGGTTTCACCATTGGTGTCTTGGTTAAAATACGTTTGTTGAGCACTGTGCCTGTAGTCGTATCCTGTAGCCTGCAGGAGCCACAGTACACAGCAGGTCCAGTAGGTAGTGCTGGTGGTGTGGGCTGGGCAAACTAAACTAAACAAGCATCGGTAAATTGTACAACCTGTCATGATTTCTTTCCTATTCAATGCTCCAACACCTGGGACATACAGTACATTTTACATTACATTTTAGTCATTAAGCTGACGCTCTTATCCAGAGCGACTTACAGTTAGTGAGTGCATACATATTTATTTTTTTCATACTGGCCCCCCGTGGGAATCGAACCCACAACCCTGGCATTGCAAACACCATGCTCTACCAACTGAGCTACACGGGACCAGTACAGTGTGGGATAGATAACTCCAGAGAGTGGGCTGCTCTGTGAGCTGGACCTGGCTTCTGAACGCTGATGATGTCTGTCAGCCACCGCAAGGAAGAAACCCATTGGAGGACGAGTGATGGGCGGGGGAGGAGCAGGTCTGCTATTGGACACATCCATGTGTGACTCCTGTCTGAGCTCCTCGCCCTAGCCTGGAGCCAATTGGGGCTAAGGAGACCCTGTCCAGAACAGCAACACAGCAGCACAGACCTTCCATGAAGCCAAAAGGTTTCTTTCTCCTCTATCAGTGAGACACTGGGTCTGGTTGTTCATTCAGAAAAAAAAAAACATTTTATATATTACATTATATGTGATTGTGTAAAATTTGCTGATACCCTGAAGGTGTCAATGTACGTATGGAATATTTGGTATTTGGCTTTCTCAAGATGGCATGAAATAAAATGTATATTCACATAAGAGTAACCTCTGTTTTTGCAACTGTCATGACAAATCCACTCTGTTGTTTCTTCTCACTCCCAAGTCAGTTTTTTAAATGTTTTATTTATTTGTTTACTTTGCTTTTAGTTTGCAAACCTGTTGTTCAGCAATCTGGTCACATTCTTCAAGAGTACATCATCAAGCAGTCAATGTCAAAGCCACGATTCTCAGTGAGAAATCCCCCTCTCACACACAATGTAATGTAAATTACATGCAGCATTATACTTGCTGCAAGATGCTGAGGGCAATAAAAGTGTACAACACATAATAGCTTTGGCTAGCTATATCAGAACTAACCTATAGAATGTTCAATAACATATTAAAAATTGTTCCTTTCCCGGCACCTGTGTCACTTTTTATTGTTCTTACAAAATGCCAAATGCTGGTTATCAGGTATTGTTACTTTGCTTTTCAATGTGGCCTATTTTTCTATTATTAATTTAACATTTACAAAGATAGTTCTTCAAATGCAATGTTGGTAGTTAAAGGGCTCATAACTTGTAATACACTGCTTATTTATGCTAATGTTCTGTATTAGCCAGGGGTCCTCAGTTCTTCTGTTTCTTTCCGTTTAAAGGTGAAAACACACACACACACACACACACACACACACACACATATATATATATATATATATATACACACACACACATATTCATATATTTGTGTATATTGTCATTAGGGTTTCTGGAAAATCTATGTTCCAAAATATAAGAATATGAGAAATATATATAAAGTGGGAAAAATTTAACTTCATTCTGTAACTATTTTTGTCAATTTCATATGTGGTATTCCATGCAAACATTGTAGAATTAAAGTTCAATAAAAAAATATGAACCTTATGTTAAATGCTAAATATATGTATGAGAGGGGCAATAACTTGTTTTCTTATTCCAGAAAGAACTATATATCCAAATCTTTACATTCTAAACATTGATTTTTCATAAGAAACCTTGACGTTCACTACACCGATGATGATACTTGGAACTCAATGGAAACTTTTTTATTTACAGTATCTGTAACTATGGTATGTACAGTTGAGATAGATATGAAAACGTCTATAAAATAAGTATCACACTGGAACAATATAACATTTTGGAACCATTGGTTGTTATGGGGGGTTTGAACAGCCTTCTACTTTAATTGTCAATGTTATGGACAGCCTTTACTTTTCACATCATCGTTAAATAAAGTGAGACTGAAAATAACTCCATAAAATGTTTGCTTTGATCTATAAAAAATTGAAAATAGGTTAATAATATTATATTATATTATAGGTTAAAGAACTTCAGAGATTGTTTCAGTGTACCCGTATTCAAAGACCTATTGATGTACTGTTGTCTACCCTTAGGCTACTGCTCTTTACATTTAGCTTTTCAAGAAAATGGAAGTGAAGTAATGCACTGTTTATTTTTTTGTTATTTGGAGCTCAGTTATCTTAATTTTAACGTCAATTAAAACAACTGTTTTATCCACAAGGCAAGGTTGTTTAAAGGCCCAGTGCACTCAAAACATGATTGTCCTGTGTTTTATACATATACACAGGAAGTAGGGGTGCTGAGGATGCTGCATCATCCCCTGAAAAATCAGAATAAAAACGATGGTTTTATATATATTTCCACACTAATAATACTGTGAAAATTATGATGATGCCCTTTTAGTGTAAGAGCTGTTTGAAAAGACCACCTGAAATGTCATCCCGTTTTGGTGGGATGGAGTTGAGGCAGTACATTTGTTAATAGAACGATAAGAAAGAGATCCAAACCTCTCTGCCGATAACAGCTAGTTTTTAGTTTTCCCCTCCCCATTCAGAACACTCCCAGACAGTCCTAGCAAAATTCTTGCTTGAGAAATTGCTCTTCGCTAAGAAGCTATTTTGTTTCTTTTTTTTTAACCATTTTAATTGATAACAATCACAGTAAGGTACAGTGGGGAAAAAAAGTATTTAGTCAGCCACCAATTGTGCATGTTCTCCCACTTAAAAAGATGAGAGAGGCCTGTAATTTTCATCATAGGTACACGTCAACTATGACAGACAAAATGAGGAAAAAAAATCCAGAAAATCACATTGTAGGATTTATTATGAATTTATTTGCAAATTATGGTGGAAAATAAGTATTTGGTCAATAACAAAAGTTTCTCAATACTTTGTTATATACCCTTTGTTGGCAATGACACAGGTCAAACGTTTTCTGTAAGTCTTCACAAGGTTTTCACACACTGTTGCTGGTATTTTGGCCCATTCCTCCATGCAGATCTCCTCTAGAGCAGTGATGTTTTGGGGCTGTCGCTGGGCAACACGGACTTTCAACTCCCTCTAAAGATTTTCTATGGGGTTGAGATCTGGAGACTGGCTAGGCCACTCCAGGATCTTGAAATGCTTCTTACGAAGCCACTCCTTCGTTGCCAGGGCGGTGTGTTTGGGATCATTGTCATGCTGAAAGACCCAGCCACGTTTCATCTTCAATGCCCTTGCTGATGGAAGGAGGTTTTCCCTCAAAATCTCACAATACCTGGCCCCATTCATTCTTTCCTTTACACGGATCAGTCGTCCTGGTCCCTTTGCAGAAAAACAGCCCCAAAGCATGATGTTTCCACCTCCATGCTTCACAGTAGGTATGGTGTTCTTTGGATGCAACTCAGCATTCTTTGTCCTCCAAACACGACGAGTTGAGTTTTTACCAAAAAGTTATATTTTGGTTTCATCTGACCATATGACATTCTCCCAATCCTCTTCTGGATCATCCAAATGCACTCTAGCAAACTTCAGACGGGCCTGGACATGTACTGGCTTAAGCAGGGGGACACGTCTGGCACTGCAGGATTTGAGTCCATGGCGGCGTAGTGTGTTACTGATGGTAGGCTTTGTTAATTTGGTCCCAGCTCTCTGCAGGTCATTCACTAGGTCCCCCCGTGTGGTTCTGGGATTTTTGCTCACCGTTCTTGTGATCATTTTGACCCCACGGGGTGAGATCTTGCATGGAGCCCCAGATCGAGGGAGATTATCAGTGGTCTTGTATGTCTTCCATTTCCTAATAATTGCTCCCACAGTTGATTTCTTCAAACCAAGCTGCTTACCTATTGCAGATGCAGTCTTCCCAGCCTGGTGCAGGTCTACAATTTTGTTTCTGGTGTCCTTTGACAGCTCTTTGGTCTTGGCCATAGTGGAGTTTGGAGTGTGACTGTTTGAGGTTGTGGACAGGTGTCTTTTATACTGATAACAAGTTCAAACAGGTGCCATTAATACAGGTAACGAGTGGAGGACAGAGGAGCCTCTTAAAGAAGAAGTTACAGGTCTGTGAGTGCCAGAAATCTTGCTTGTTTGTAGGTGACCAAATACTTATTTTCCACCATAATTTGCAAATAAATTCATTACAAATCCTACAATGTGATTTTCTGGATATTTTTTTCTCAATTTGTCTGTCATAGTTGACGTGTACCTATGATGAAAATTACAGGCCTCTCTCATCTTTTTAAGTGGGAGAACTTGCACAATTGGTGGCTGACTAAATACTTTTTTTCCCCACTGTACTTAATTGTTACCCA